TACTAACACTTTGTGTTAGAAGAACCCTGGCATCGTGGTTTGTAAACTAGCCTGGGGATTAGCAAATTGTACAAACTAAATTAATTTTAATCTGTTCAGTGTACTGAGAAGCAGTACACTGAGAACTTTCTTACTTTAGGATTGACTTGAAATCTGAGAACCATGTAAGCAGGTACTTATAAAATGGCAGTGGGTTTGAACATAGACCAATTATCAATTTAAAGAATCTAATGCATGTTATGAGAAGAATATTTTATTGAACAAAAATGGTATTATTAAATATCAATGTTTAAACCTCTTTTCCAAGACACTTTTAGATGGCTTCCATGCAGCTCCTAATCCCATAATTTGCCTGAACTAAAACAGGAATTACACATTTCTTATTTGTACTAGGTTTCTGACTCATTTCACATGTAAGCCAATGGATATGTTACTGTATGCCTGAAAGCTATCCTTCTGGAAGAGTTGTGTTGAGCAATTCTCTCTTTGCAAGAAGCTGTGAATATTTCATGACAAAGCTAGGAATGGTGTCAAAAGATGTGGCTTAATAAAGTGCTATTGTGTGTACAGTCCAGTTGCTACCTTTCATCCTACAGGCTGAACTAGAATCACTTAAGAAAACTAACAGGAAATTCAAGAACTACAAATAAGTTATTATTTCCTGAGTTTCAAGAGCAAGAAAACAGTTTGTGTATCTTCCTTCTTCCCATCCTATCTATCTAAGCAATTACTTGCCCCTCTCTTTTGAACAGTCTAGCCTGGCTCCATCTGTTTTTAGGTTTTGCATTGATCAGAACTGCTGCTGTGTTTTTATCACTGACTGTGTGAGAACAGATTCATTTTCTTAATGCATGAGTAGGACTTTTCTCTGCATATCTGACATATTACCTTGCCTAAGAGGTGAAATGGGACTGTCTTTGCTGTGGCATTGTAAACAGTTCTATTGTGATTTTTTTTTTCCTTTACAGCAGCTATCGAATTGTGCCCAAGCATAAACATTTGTTTTTAGAGAGATGGTTCATTGTTTTTATTTTTGAGGCAAATTGGAGAACAGTTGAATTCTGTCAACGCTGCTAACGTTGGATGTTCTTGCTTTGACAACATATGAAGATGCAGCCTTTTTCTTTCTTATGCTTTACTCTTAGAATTAAATGATGCTGGGGGAGGAGGCGGAATGGGGTGGGAGTTAGACATAACAATATTGTATTAGTGTGTGAAATAAGAGATGATAAGAATTGGCTGGTAGCAGAACTGGAGGGAAAGCCTGCATTTCAAACTAATTGGACAATGTGATTTATGACTGTTAATTGAAGGAGGGAATTGTGCTTGGATACTATGTGCTCAGGGGAGGGGAATCCAGTTTTTGGCTTCAACTATGTTAGTGCCGAAGCTATGCTACTCCCATAAAGATTCTTTAAGGTAAACAATGCCTCGAAGTTCTTTGAAGAGTTTCATCTGTCGGAACCATGACAAATTCCACATTGAGCAGTTTAGCTGTTTCGTACTGTTTTTTTCTTACCAGAAAAGAGCAAAAAAAAAAAAGTATATTGATGCAGGTTGGAAGGCAAAGGGACAAAGGCAGTTGGGAAGTGAAGAAGGTTTCATGAGATATTGATTCTTTTGTTTCAAAAAATGGAAATCTTTCCTCGCATTATGCAGAATATCCCAGAAGAAGAGCGCTTAATCTCTTTCTGCTGTTTTCCTTTCATCTACAATGTATCCACCAAGAGGGAAATACTTTATTACGGATCCCTTACTGTACAAGAGGTAAAGAATCATTTTTTCCAGTGCAAAAAAAATAAAAATAAAAAATGGCTTTGGGCGGAGAAGCGGACATTTGTCGGCTTGGGAAAAGACTGATCAGAAATTTGCTTTGGGGATGGAGGGTGGGGGGTGGGCATACCATTTGTGTAGAGCAGTGTTTTTCAACCTTGGCAACTTTAAGAGGTGTGGACTTCAATTCCCAGAATTCCCCAGCCATCCATGCTGGCTAGGGAATCCTGGGAATTGAGGTCTGTGCATCTTAAAGTTGCCAAAGTGAGAAACCTTGATTTACAGCCTTCGTCATTGTGCCCCCTTGTATATTGCTGGATGAGGCCCCCAATTTATTTATTTGTTTGATTATATTTTGCAGCATTCAAAATATGATATGGAATAATCTCCCCTCCCCTGGAAATCGGCAGGCCTCCAGCCTTTTAGTCTTTTGAGAGCAATCAAGACCTGGCCCTTTCCCCAGGGGTGGGCAGTTCCCCTCAAATCAAACAAAATATACCCATTTCCAGAGAACCTTGCAACTACTCAAAGGAACCCCTATTAAAAAAAAATAGAAGGCGCATGCAAGCTTTGAAATATGGAACTATCCCGGGAGTTCCCAATCATTTAGACCCTTTGTGCCCTTTCTGACTTTGACAATTTGAGAGCACAAAGGTGCCCCAAAGGAGGTTTGCCTGTTCACACATATTTGCTGCACTCTGTGCCTAGTCACAAGAAAACTCTGTGCCACAAGATAAACTGGGGTGGGTGGGTTTCCCATTGCCAGGGGTAGGCAACCTTGGCTCTTTTATGACTTGTGGACTTCAACTCCCAGAATTCCTGAGCCAGCATGGCTCAGCTTAGAAACTGTCCCTTTCCCCTCAGCACGGCTGGCTCAGGAATTCTGGGAGTTGAAGTCCACGAGTCATGAAAGAGCCAAGGTTGCCTATCCCTGCCCATTGCCATCATTTTTAGCCATTCAAGATAGTATCATTATATATATAGTGATAAGCATAATATGAAGGGGCCACGATGGCTCATGTGGTTAGGACGCTAAGTCAGAAGACCACTGAGAGGTCGACAGTTTGGCAGTTCAAAACCCGAGAGCGCGAGCTGCATGATGTTTGTCTCAGCTCCTGTCAACTTAGCACTTTGAAAGCATGCAAATGTGAGTAGATAAATAGGTACCACTTTGGCGGGAAAATACCAGGGACATGAAAGGCGCCTCCTTGTGTGTTCCCTGTGCAACAGTGATGTCACCAGCTAATCCTTTCAACCTGGAAGCACCTTGGTAGATGCTTCCAACATGTATGTAGTAGTAGCATAACAGGAGCTACTGTCATTCTCACCCCATTCACTGTGTGAGAATGTGAGATTCTAAGGCTATTTTGGAGATTAAGATAACTCTGGAGGCTGATGCTTTGCTTTGTAGTGTGCCAAATTGTTAAAAGGTGACAATAATATATTTTTTTTTATTAAAAGTTTTATAAAGTTTACAATATAAATCCCCCCCCTATCACCCCCCTCCCCCCCCACTTCCCAGAGCTGTTCACAGGGTTACAAATAATAATCATAATCTAAATAACATAAACCAGCTAATTATATAACCAAATCTATAACACACTTTAACTCATTTTTAAAATATATTTAAATAAATTAAAATTAAAATTAAGTACATTATTAAAAGAAGAAAAAACAAACAAACTAGTAAACAACACTACTAATCAAAATTATAATAAAATCATACAAACTATTATAAAATATACATACAAGCACTTAATAAAATAATAACAATAAGAATATTTTAAAATTTTACCCAAAAGCCAAATGGAACTTGTCAGTCCCATATTTTTTTTGAATATAATCTATCCATCTTCTCCATACCGAAATATAACTTTCATATGACTGATCCTTCAAATAAGCAGAAATCTTAGCCATAATATTTTTAAAAGTTAGAAAAGAGGGTGGGGTCTGCTGGTCCCCCAAAAGCGAACATATTGGTGCCTTACAGTATACTATGTTGGGAATCCTGAAATAGCCATCTTATTTCTCAAAAGAAGGGAATGCAGATGCGAGCTCCAATTTTCTAATAAAGGTAGTCCTTGACTTACGACCACAACTGAGCCCAAAATTTCTGTTGCTAAGTGAGACATTTGTTAAAACTATGTTATTTGGGGAGAAAATACTTAAATATAAACACACCATCAAAATTGCCTTAAAAGAAGACTTCCTTTGATTTCCTTACATTTCTTCCATGTTTTAAAAAAAAAAGGAAATTGTTTTTGTTTTTTTTTAATCTCTTTCCCTCTGGACTTCTCCAGGCGTTCAAAATGAAAGCTTGTAATGAATTGGTTTACAATCGAAGGCTGGGAACTAGTGACCTTCCAGAACTTCCCGCTTTTCCTCTGAGAGTGCGACGTCAATTTCTCGTTGAAGATACCTGGCACAAGCTTAGTATAATGGAGGACATCTACCTGAAAAAGCACCTGCTGGTGAGCTCTGTGTGGTCTGCTGATGCAAGGTTATCTGAGCTTTGAATATGAGAACTCATTGGCATAGTCTTAAAAATTGGAAATGCTTTTTTAAAAAATCTATCCACAAAGTGTTTGTTTACTCACTATTGATTTCTACAACAATTATACAGGTAGTCCTCGACTTACAACCACAACTGAGCTCACAATTTCTGTTGTTAAGCAAGGCGATTGTTAAGCACGTTTTGCCCCACTTTATGACTTTTCTTGCCACAGCTTTTAATTGTTAAGTTAGTAACACAGTTGTTCGGTGAATCTGGCTTCCCCATTGACTTTTCCTGTCAGAAGGTCGCCAAAAGTGATCCCATGACTCTGGGACACGGCAACCCTCATAAATACAGGCCAGTTGCCAAGCATCTGAATTTCGATCACATGACTGCTGCAATGGTCATAAATGGGAGAAATGGCCATAAGTTACAACAACTTTGGCACTAAATGAACTGTTGTAAGTAAGGGGTATACCTGTATTTTGCCTTTATTCTAAGAAGCTAGAGACAATGTACAGGTTGAAGGTCACCCCTAATTTTTCTGCACCTAGCAGCAGTGGAATACCTTGGCTGAGTGGTGGATCCAAAATCAGCCAATGAGTTCCATGGCTGAATGGGTAGAGCCTGAGTTTTCCGTTGACAATTCAATACTCTTAATTACTACACCATCTTATTTTTCTTATATACACTACAAGGGACATTTGCCTCTGAACTCTGTGGGGCTTATTTTTGAATTGATCTTTCTAGCAGGATTGGAAACTTTAGTCGGAGCACCTCTAAATCTTTAGGTAATAGGTTTAATTTGATTCATTATTTAATTTAAATTAAAGATGGTTAACCAATCAAGGAGAGAATTAACCTAGAACTAAGGAATTTCCTGACAGAACAAATAATCAATCCTCCAGAATGGCCTCCAGAAGTTGTGGGTGCTCCAACACTGACGTTTTTAAAGAAGAGATTGGACAACCATTTGTCTGAAATGCTATAGGGTTTCCTGCTTGAGCAGGGGTTGGACTAGAAGACCTCCAAGGTCCCTTCCAACTCTGTTGCTCTGTTATTCTGCTTACACTAGGTAGGGCTGTATGAAGTTCCAAAACCATAGAAGAAATGCTTTTGACTTTCTGCAAATTCAGAGCTTCTCTGCTATTCGCCAAAGGAATCCAACATTTTTCAGCTTTCTTTGTCCATCTGAAAAAAGATGTTGGTGTTTCAGTTCTTAGATGCAATTCTTAAAACTGTCACACTTTCTTTTTTCAATTTTTTCAGAAGCCTGAATTGCCTGGGCATTCTCCCAAGTCTGTTCAGAAACCTTGGGGAACCTTGCAAAGAAGATTTTGAAGCAGGTGGAGGGGAATTGTGGTAGGGAACCATTCAGAGGCAGCTTCATGTAACAATTTGAGATCTGCTTTCAATTATTTCTCTAATGGGACACAAATGAGATTGCTGGATGAAGGCTTGCCCAATTGTTAACCTCTGCTTGAGGGCTTCTATGGAGACTGATTCCTCAGTTTTCTCTCAGTGAAGTCAATAGATGCCTTGAACTATCCCAAAGTTGTTTTTCCAAAAGTCAACTGGACTTTCTTGATTTTTTTTTCTTTTCATTTTTCAAAAACAACAAGAAAGTCCAGTTGCCTTTCAGAAAAGCACCTTTGGGACAACCATGACCTGGATGATAGAAAATCTCCATAGACATTCCTTGAACTTTACTTGTTTTGGCAGGTTCAATTTGAAAATGAAACACTTAATTATGAAGATAAAGGTATCCTGGTGGAATTCTTTTCACAAGTGTTTGAAGAGGTGGTACAGCCAAAATATGGAATGTTTATGTATTGTGAACACAATTCCCCAATGTGGTTCCCTCCCAAGGTAAGTTTATCAGTCCCAATTCCAGTTCAAATGGACTCATAATTCAAGATGATACCTTCAAACTTTCCTGTTGATCCTAGGTGAGATACTAGATTTTAACAGGGGGGGGGGAAATATGTGCAAGTTTGATTTGCCAACTTCTACATCTGGTCTTTTGTGCATCAGAAGACTAGTTTGAGAAACTTCAAAACTCCTGAGGGATTATGAGGATTAGTAGTCCCAACACCTCTTGAGGTCCCAAGGTGAGGGAAAGATGCCTCAAGGCTGTGGTGCCACGGGCGCCACAGGTGGCACGCAGAGCCCTCTATGTGGGCATGGGCGCCATCACCCCAGTCCTAGGCCTTCAGCTGGGTTTTATAAAACCTTTTCGCTTTAGTCTTCCGCCGCCGTGTGGAAAAAAAAAAGGTTCAATCAATCAATCAATTTCAGCTTCTCATGGGAAAAAAAAAGATCTCACAAAGCTAGAATTTATTGATTAAACTTTTTAGTCCTACCCAGTCTGCCGTTACCACCACAGCCACAGCCACCCAATGGGCCACACCCACCCAATGGGCCATGCCCACCCGGCACCCGACGATACATAAGTGGGTTTTGGGTTTCAGTTTGGGCACTTGGTCTCTAAAAGGTTCGCCATCACTGCCTTAAGGGAATATAAAACTTGAGCTGAATGAAAGGAGACATTTAGCCTCTCGGCAATCTGCACTTTGATAAAGGACACTAATCTGACCGTAGGTCTTCTGCTGATGTCTTGCAAAAAAATATAAGAGGTCTGGCAGCAAGAGACATGACCTTTCATAAGATCACTTGCTATTAAGTCTTGATTTCTAGGTGCAGAGAAAAGCAAGAATACCAATTTGGCCTAATAGTTAAGGCACCAGGCTACGTGAGTTCTAGTCCTGCCTTAGGCATGAAAACCAGCTGGGTGACCTTAGGCCAGTCACTCCCTCTCAGCCCAACTATTCTCACAGGGTTGTTGTTGGTGGGAAAAATAGGACTAGGGAGGAGAAGGAGGAGGAGCTATGTTCGCCACCTTGACTTAATTATAAAAATAATAAAAGCAGGATAAAAATAAAATAGGCTCTAGTAGAGTATGAAAGTGCAACTAAATAAGCTTTAGTTTAATGAAGAGAAGGACGAGGGGGGACATGATAGCAGCGTTCCAATGTCTCAGGGGTTGCCACAGAGAAGAGGGAGTCAAGCTATTCTCCAAAGCGCCTGAAGGCAGGACAAGAAGCAACGGATGGAAACTTACCAAAGAGAGAAGCAACCTAGAACTAAGGAGAAACTTCCTGACAGTTAGAACAATTAATCAGTGGAACAACCTGCCTCCAGAAGTTCTGAATGCTTCAACACTGGGAGTTTCTAAGAAAAGATTGGACAACGATTTGCCTGAGCAGCGAGTTGGCCTTGAAGACCTCTAAGGTCCCCTCCAACTCTTCTGTTCTGTTCTACTCTACTCTGCTCTGCTCTGCTCTGCTCTGTTCTTTCATACGCTATATGGTCTAATACTACTATTCATCTTACTACTGTAGGATATTTATTTATTCCATTTGTCCCTTTAAATATTGCAAAAGTAATCTGTATTCCTTCACATTGATTGTGCATGTTGGGAATTGTAGTGATGTTCTGTTGCTGTAATCGTGTGTTCTTGCAGCCTTCAGTGGAGAAGAATAAATATTACCTTTTTGGGATTCTCTGTGGACTCTCAATAGCCAACGGAGTGACTGCCTACATACCTTTCCCACTTGCCCTCTTTAAAAAGCTGCTGAACAAGAAACCAACTCTCAGTGATCTGCAAGAGCTAAGCCCTGTCATAGGAGGGTAAATGAATTCAGTTCTATCAGTTTAGTAGGGATGTTGAATCTTAATTGATTTTGTCCAGTTGTTGCATTCACCCTATAACTTACAAAGCCATGTTTGTGTTTCAAAGAATGTGTTTAATAGACTGCCAAAAGGAATGGGGTCCTAACATCTGAATGTGGTTTAAGATGACTTAACCAAGGTGTAGAGATCAATAAATCATTTGACATTCCTCCCTTCATCCCTTGCCCAGTAAGAGGCTTCTCTTGATTTGAGTTGTCATAACAAACTAACATAGAAGATTGTTCTACTGTTCCCATTTACACAGCTATAATGGCTGACAGAGAAAGTGCTCTCTGTGATAAACCAAAGGCAAAAATCTTGTAGAGCAGACATGTCAAACACAAGGCCCGGGGCCAGATGCGGCTCGCGAAGTGGTTTCATGTGGCCCGCAAAGCCATTCTGGAAACAGTGAGGGAACGGCCCCCTCTGCCTTGGCCCTGGCCCAGGCCAGCCAGGAGCCAATGTACAATTTTGTGGTGGCCATCTATGCTGAAACGCATTCAGTCTTAGCTCCATAAGCCACCCCCTCTGCATGGCCTGAGAGGAACAGTGAGGCTCCTCCAGTGGACCATGCCTTGGTGCTTGCCCTGGTCCCACCCCCTTCTGCCAGAGACCCTCAGATCTATCCCACTCCTGCCGAGGCCCCTATAGGCACCCTTCACGCGAACGATGTAGAGCTGGCCACACCCACCCAGTAGGCCACACCCACTCCATCCACACCCACCCAGTAGGCCGCACCCATCCTGGCTACACCCACCCAGCCCCCTGAGGGCAACCGCAATGCTGATGCTGCCCTCAATGAAATTGAGTTTGACACCCCTGTTGTAGAGGAAGGAAAAGATTGAGGTCTACCTGCTTTTTTCTCTTCATCTCTGTACAGGTAATCCTCGAGTTACCAATGTAATAGAGCCTACCAATTACATTGGTAAGCCAAGGATTCATTAATTGGATCGTGTTAAATAAACGTGATCCCTCCCTGCTTTACCCAATGCATTCATTAATCGAATGTACAGGTCGTTAAGTGCAAATGAGGTGTTTCAGGGTGGGGAAGGCTAGTGCTGACATATCTCATGCTTCCCCCCCCCCACTCACCACCAGGTCTCTACAGGCACTGAGGCTGTGGAGAACTCACTTACCTTTCGAAGATCTCGATGATCAAGTGAGCTGTCTTCTCGCCAGTCTCTGTGCCACCGTTTCTTTTTCTGCTCCCAGCAATCCAAAAGCAGAGCAGCGAGAACAGAATCAGCCCGCCCTGCTCAGCTTGGCTGACTCACCAAGGCTGCCCGGGCAGGATACCCACTCTGCTTTTGGATGGCTGGGCAGCCTTGCTGGCTTTGAAAGAGCGTGACCTCGCGCTCCTTCAGGCCTCTGTCCTCTGCATCAAAAGCGTTTGCAAAGGGGACAGAACCCTAAAGGTGTGTGACATCTCACCCCCGAAGGCTTCCATCTCCTTTGCAAAAGCTTTTGGCGCAGAGGGCAGAGACCCGAAGGAGGGCAGGTTTGTGCTCCCAAAGGCCTCCGTTCTCTGCAGCAAAAACCTTTAGTAAAGAGGACAGAAGCCTTCGGGGGCACGATCTCACACCCCTCCAGGCCTCCATCCCCTTTCCCAAAGCTTTTAGTGTGGAGAATGGAAGCCTTCGGGGGCACATTCTTGCGCTCCTTCGGGCCTCTGTTCTCTGCACCAAAAGCCTTTGGCAAAGAGGACCAAAGCCTTCCGCCCCCTTTGCAAAAGCTTTTGGCATGGAGAACAGAAGCCTTCGAGGGTGTAGGATCGTGCCCAAGGAGGCCTCTGTTCTCCATGCCAAAAACCTTTCGCAAAGGGGACAGAAGAGTTTAAGAAGATGGCCGCTTTCTGCCACGTGGCCCTGACTCTGCAGATCTTCAAAAGGTACAGTAAGTGAGCGATTGGTGACAGGATGGGGATGGGGAATAGGCAGAGGGAATGTTGCAGCATCTCTCCAGTCGGTCGTAAGGATGAACAACTGCCGTGGTGCTTCAACATTTGTAACTTTGAGACTGTGTCATAAGTACTTCTGGGGGTGGTATTGTAACTTTGAACTGTTGCTCAGTGAACTGTTGTAACTCGAGGACTACCTGTATTAGTAGGAAAATGATTAATTAAATGTCCTTTAAAAGCACCAGTGGTGTACTTGCTCTCCATAAGCACAGAGATTGTTTCAATTTTTCAGTAGAAGCAAGAATAAGAAGCCACAGGTTTGTAGAAAACATATTTATTCCAAAACATGTCTATAAATATATTAGCCATCACATACTTCTTCTGAAGCGTCTAGGAGAAGGAATGTTCTCTTTTGCCCAATGTAACTGGTGTCCTAGCCTAGATTAGTAAATCCCAATGTGATCCAAATCCCAATATAAACATGTCCCCTTTAAAACTAGATACACTGCATGGCCTGGGAAAATAGTATTACCCACTAGCTTAGTTTTGAAACTTATCTGGATCCAAAAGTTTTTCAGGAGCACTCATACAAATATAAATCTGTATCTTCTCACCAAGTATTTGATTATCTGGATCAAGCTAACCATTCTAAATATGATGACCACTAGATACATAGATATCCACCACTAGATATGATGACTCAAAAGGAAAAAGCTTGAGTGTATTCATGATTGCATGGACTGGTCTAGGGATCTTGTTCATTTTTCTTACACTTATAAAAATGTGAAACCTGTTTCAGCATGTATTTTGGATTGGTAATATTTTAATATTTGCTGGAAGAACTTCATATAATATTTTATTTTCTATTTCCTTTCGTTATCAAGATGTTTGCAGACAGCTCTTGATTATGAACGTGATGATTTTGAAGACATGTTTCAGCTATGTTACTCTGTGAGTATCCTGCATTCTTTCATGATGCTTCCTCAAATGTTTAATAACCTGGAACAGAGGCTAAAAGTGAAAGAAAATCAGAGCTGGTAAAATCAGTTAAAAGGTGGAAAAGTGTATCTTGTGAGTGAACAAATAAGCTGGAATAAATAGGTGAGTGATGCAAGAGACATCATTCTGAATCTTGTTTTTAGAAGGTGGTCTTCCAGGGGTGTGGTAAAAAATATCAAGATGGCACCAATGATAGTTTAATCTAAGCTCAGCTTGGTTTTTTATGCACATCACATTTTTTTTACCACATCCTGCAAATACCCTTGGGTCGTCCAGATAATAATAATAATGATAAAGTTGGAAGGGACCTTGGAGGTCATCTAGTCCAACCCCCTGCTCAGGCAGGAAACCCTACACCATTTCAGACAAATGGCTGTCCAGTTTCTTCTTAAAAACTTCCAGTGTTGGAGCATTCACCGCTTCTGGAGGCAGGTTGTTCCACTGGTTAATTCAGGAAGTTTCTCCTTAGTTCTAGAGGCACTAAAGGCTGAAACTGATTCACACAACACACTTAAGTCATAAGATGATTTGTTTATGGTGTAGCCTTTATACCAGTTTGCAACCTTGGTATAAAGTTGGATTGTTGTATGAGTCTTCTTAGTTATTCAATAAAATGCAATAATGGGAAACCGTGGCTTGAGACCACGTGTGAACCAGTCAAAGCATTATTCATAGCTGCTTCATTGGCTGAAACTACTGACACCAACTATCCCATAAATAGAAAGTCTTGACACTGTTCAGTGCAGAGACTATACTAATAAATCGATTTTAGTTTCAACACTTTTCCCTAAAATGCAGCAACTTCATTTTTCAGGTTTCCTGGGATGGCATGGATGTAGACTTGATTGAAAATGGCATTTTGACAGCTGTAAACAAGGCCAATAAGTATGTATCAATGAGTCTTAAAATGATCTCTCCAAACATACTATGTTACAATTCAGATGATTCTCCATCTATCATAGTCAGTGATGTTAGAAGTAATGTGGGATCATAGTTCAAGACATTACTAAAGCACTATGTAGGAATTGAATAATTTCTTAAACTTTCAGTTACTGATATCCCCAAACTATTTGAAATTTCTATGGGATTTTTTTTTTAAATTTCTTCAGATCTAAACTATACTGTAGGTAGCCCTCTCATTCAGCAATGGTTCAGAATTCCGACTGCACTGAAAAGGGGGAACTTCTGACACAACGTTGTGGCTGTTGCAGCATCCCTGTGGTCATTTGGCCATTACCCAGGCACCTGGCTCATGATTACATCACAGCCAGCCACTATCACTTCCCTGCCACTTTCCCACAAGCAAAGTCAATGGGAATCTAGCAGAGAAGGTCGCAAGTCACTCCCTTATGCTTCCCCCACAACTTGCACCTGCCCACATCCCTCTCCATCCCAGCGCACTACACAAAACCCACCCAAAGCCCTTGCCAGCTTGCCCACACTCTCCAGCACCCACTTGTGCCCGATGCCAGCTGGCTTGTGGCACCCATCCCCATGCTCCTTACCCAGTATTTGTCCTGCTTAAGGGCCCATAAGGTGCTGGGGTTACGATGTTCTGTCCCCCGTCCGACTCACACCCCCCAACCAGTCAGCTGAGGGCTAAAAGACTGCTCAGCACTGCCAAAAACACAGATAAACACTTGGCAGCAACTCCGTGGCTGCCTGCCAAGACCTTTACTGATAACTCACAGTACAAATACAAATCAAAGTCCAGGATAATTCCGAAGTGCTACAACAGAAGATTCAGTATTGTTCATCACAAGAGTTTCAAACGGCACACCCCTTGCTTATATAGCCTGTGGGGTGTGGCCCAGTGACTCAGCNGTTTGTCCCTCCGACGCTGGCGTGGATCCAGCCAAGACATATCTTCCTCAGAGTCCGACACACCTGGCTCCTGGCCAATCTCCTCTCCATCGGAAGACACCGAAGGCCGCACCAGAGGGGAAGGTCCTGGAGAGGGAGGCCTGGCCATCTCCTCTCCTTCATGTTCAGAGCCTTCCTCCTCCGATGATAGGGACCCACAGGACGGAGCCACAACATACGACAACAACTGGAACTGCAGGATTACCATTGCTAAGCAATGCAGTCATATGGCATTGTGCTGTACAACAGGGGTGTCAAACTGCTGGCCTGCTGGCCGGATGCACCATACCGAAACCGCGCCCACCCCAGCTCCAGCAATGGGAAAAAAGTTGCGATATGTCGCGACATGTCACATGACATTGCGAGTTTGACACCCCTGCCTTACAACAACCAATCCCAGTCCCAACTGCTGTCACAACTCAAGGACTACTGTATGGTGAGAATTTGGGGAAAAGATGGGGAAATGGAGAGAAAAGAGAGAAACACAGCTAACTAAAATGCAACAAGTCCAGTCTTTGATTCTTTTTTCTTTATAAAATTTCAATCTTGTTCTCCTTCAAAGGCCTAAATGTTGAGTAATATATACATTGTTTGCCTTGTGGTACAAAGACTTACCTTAAGTCCCAACTAATTCTTGTAAATATCTAATAAAGTGAACATTTGTTACATTAACAAATAAATGTAAACAGATAGTTTTGGATTTATGAGCGATGTTAACCGAATTTCCCCAAAAGAGATCTGAGTCTGAACCTCCATAAATTTATTAAAAGGCCAACTTCTGTTTAAGAATTTGATTTCTTGGGGGAAAAAAATCAGGCTTCTTTTCTACTTTTTAAAGGAAAGACTTTGTTGACAAATACGTGGATTACATATTCAACAAATCAGTGGATGATGTTTTCAGTGAGTTTAGGAGAGGATTTTACAAAGTCCTGGATGAACAGCTAGTTGGTATTTTTGAGCCCGAACAACTGATTAAAGTGGCAATTGGAAATGCCAATTATAATTGGGATTTGTATGAAGAGGTAAGTGGATGGAGAGATGTATTTTATGCTAAGGACCTTTATGAGCAGATCATGATTGGAGAGATGGAACTGTGCCATTAGCTACAGCATAATTTTCAGTTGGCATGGGAAATGGTAAATTGGTAAATGGAATTAATTTTTCCCCATCGCAACTTTCCTAGCTTATCAAATAAGCGAATAACAGAATTGCCTGGATGGCATTTAGGAGTTTGAGCATGGCTGCAGATCAAGTTGCTAAAGCCTTTCTCTTTCTTTCTTTCTTTCCTTTTCCTTCCTTCCTTCTTTCCTTTCTCTTTCTATTCTTTCTTCTTTCCTTCCTTCCTTCTTTTTCTTTTTCTTTCCTTCTTTCTCCTTTTCTTCTCTTTTCTTTTTTCTTTCTTTCTTTCTTTCTTTCCTTCTCTTTCTTTCCTTCTTTTTCTTTCTTTTTCTATCTGTCTTTCTTTCTTTCTTCTTTCCTTCTCTTTCTTTCCTTCTTTTTCTTTCTTTTTCTATCTGTCTTTCTTTCTTTCTTTCTTTCTTTTCTTTCGCTGCCCATCTCACTATTCAAGTGATTCTGAGTGGCTTATAGAATGATAGATATATGTGATCCAGGTTTTTATTTATTCTTATTGGTTCTGTTGTTGTTTTTTTCTCATTGTCTGATTTATTATTCTTGCACTGAAGAATGCTGTGTATCGTAACATATACAACTCAACGCACCCAACCATAAAAATGTTCTGGGAAGTTTTTCATGGGCTGAGTTTGGAGGATAAAAAACGTTTTCTAGGTAAGTATCTATATGCAACTACTTCATCACCCTTCTAAAGACCATGAAGGTGAATCTCTTTCTGTGTTATGAGCTGTTATGAATGTTAGCAGAAGGCATTCATATCTCTCCAAAAGCTTCTTTTAATGTGGATAGTCAAGGAATTGAAATGATAATTGAGAAGCAACTCTATAATATAGGGTTAGATTGGGAATCATCGCTACAGTTGATTCTAGTAGGACAACAGATGTTTTATTAAATTCTTTTGAATATTTTCCTGAGTCGAAAAATCCTGTGTTCTTGGATCTGTTTATGTTCCATCTAATATTCTGTGTTTAACGGATTATTTTCCATATTTCTAGTCTTTGTGGAAGGAAACGACAGGATCCCCGTGACAGGAATGAGACCTTTGAACATTTGTCCACATTACTTGCCCTCAGAGGATCTTATCCCCGGGGCCTGGATCTGTTTTTCTGTTTTATTTCTGCCAATTTATTCAACAAAACAAAAACTGGAGGAGAAGCTTTTTCAAGCTCTCAACAACAATCATAGCTTTGGCAGATTTTAGACTAGAGACTGAAAGAAGAATTTGAAGATGCCACCTTTGAAGCTGTAGCCTTCTTTTGACCTCAGATGGGAGGACAGATAATCCCAAGGGATTTTGATTAGATGACTGTTCAGTGATTTTCTTGCTTTATTTAGAAATAAAGTGATGTATAGTCTAAAATCAAATATATAGCCCTTTGAAAATACGCTGTTTTGACTAACATGTAATTAGATTGAGTTAATATGTTCCTTTAAACATATGTATTTATTAATGTGGTTATTTCTAAAAATATTCCTAGATGATCGGATTGGCTAGTCTTGAGTTGCTGGTGGGAAGGAAGTCCCTGAGAAGTGATCCTCCCCACAATTGCACTGTTTATATAGTAGATATGTAGTGAGCACATTTGTCTGATGAGAGCAGCAATAAACATACCACTCTGATCAGCCCTGTGTGTTGTTTCTGGTTCCTTTGCCTGACTGTTAGTCCTTCAAGACAAATCAGACTAGGAATCTGGTATCATGTAGGTCAGTGCTATTTTATTACAAAACTAGAGAAACACAATCTTGCAGGTCTGAATGTGCTTCCCCAATCCTCCTTTTACCTTTGTGAGAACTAGCCTTGAATGATTCCTGCCCTGAATGCAGGCTTCTTTTATCTGACCACTGTCTTGATAGCCACCCTTCCTTCCTCAAGGCCATTCCTTCTGCTCTTTACAATTCCACATCATTCAGCAATTGATGGCTGAAGGATTTGAGAGATATGATGAGAATGGTGTGGAAAAGGAAGAGAAATGAAGTGATATGTGATTTAGTCAGACTTGGAAGAGATGTACAGACACAAAGAAGTAGATTGTGAAAGGACAGAGTGGAGAAGATAAGTTCTTCTCCTACACGCCTTTACACTGACTTTTATACTGAAATGTTCAATGTTGATGGACAAATGGGATTTGGGAAGATGTGGGCATTCCTGATGCTGGTTGCTGATGTTTTTACCAGGCAGCAGTCACTGATTTTGTAGAGCTGGTGCTTTTCTGGGAGGTTGGAGGAAATGGACACAGACAGAGGTTATCCCCTATAGCCAGAGGCCAATATATGCAGGAAGATTGGAAAGAATTGTGGCCCCTTTGCTCAGTTGCTTCAGCTGCTGATGCCCAAAGAGCCGTCACTGTAGACTTGTTAGATCTAGAAATACAGATAGGTTTACTCCCTGGATGACATTGGCAAGCAAGAAAAAAAAAGTTCCGGACTTCCGGTTTGCCGACGCGGCTGACATGGACATCTGGAAGGCAAGCTCCATCTTCCGTGTCCAGTTTCACTTCACTGGGGGACCCTGGAAAGGGTCGAAAGTCACCCTGTAGGGGCGACCAGCAAGGAGGGGATCCCCACTTGATCACAGGAGGGCAGTAGCCCTTCCACTTGATCCGGGGCAGCCCTCCAAACCGGCGGATGAAAGACCAGCCATAGCAATATGGCTTGTCACTAGACAGCTGAAGTCACACTTACCACCAGGCAATTATAAAGCAGCGCGGATGAGACTGGGTGAGATCTACCTCTCTTAAATCCTAACTATCTTTTTTACCTGCATAAGCTGCTTAAAGTACTTTACCTCCTGTGGAGAGGGAAGGGAGATTTTATCCCTCCCTCTAGAAACACCGGCGACTGACAATCCAGGGGAGTTTAAGACATTGAAAGAATAACTTGATCCTAATTGGAATTCTATTTTTTAAAGTTTGTGGACTAAAAGATTTTCTACTCTTACTGAAGTTCTGGGTTTTTACTTATAAAAAAGAAGCAAAACTGAAAAGATTATAAAAACTTTGGATTTAAAAGAAAACTTTAAATGGTAGGGGCGACATCTTGTGGCTAAACCTGATACTACAATTTGTTATTGTTTAAAAGAGACTTGGCCAGTAGCCCAGACAATAGATAAGATTTATGTAACCTTGAGATCAGCTGTGAGAAGCCCAGCTGTGTTCCATATTCAGTGACAATTTTTTTTTTGCATTTTCTGATTGTAAAGCTTTTAACCTAATGCGCTAGAATATGGATGAAGATCAGGAACAGATTCTCTCTATACTGAAAGCAATTCATCAAACTATTCTTACAGCTACTGATGAAATAAGAGGTTACAGAAAAGAACAAGATGTCAGCCCAGATATACAAACTCAAACTTTGATTACAACTAAAAAATCAACTACACAGAATATAACAGAAAAAGTGGAACAATTAAATATTATGACAGAAGATTCAACTGATCAACAAATACAGTCAATGGAAAACCCAGAAAAGGGACTGACAATATGGAAAAAGGAAAAAACTTTCTACATAAATCAGAAAGAATCTGAGGATCAAGAAGAAGAACAGACTGAAGAGAAGATAAACAGTTCAGGACAACTACGTCGAGATGGAAAAATAGAGAGATGATTTGTTAGTCCTCTCAAAAAAATAGCGACCAGATGTTTTTTTCTATGTCAAACAATATATATAACAACACAGGGAGATCTGTTTGATGACTCAAAAGCAAGAACATGGAAGATGATTTGGTGAAGAAAGAAAGCCAGAATAAGACTGAAGAAAATTGGGGTTTTGACTTATTCGTGAGAATTAAAATAGAATATACTCAAATAGATAAGATGTGTACTTTGAATACTAGATATTGTTATGAGTTGAAATAAAGAAAACTTTGGTCATTTAAAACTTAGAAGTAATAAATATTAAGAGTTAAATTTGAACACTGATTTGCTTATAAAGGTTAAATGTAAATGTAATTAAGATATATATATAAGGATCAGCGCCAGGCTCCAGCTGGAGCTCAGCGCTTCTGCTGAGCCCTGAAGAAGCACCAATCAGCTAGAATGTTGCCTTATCTCCAGGGTCTTGTGATTTACATTCAGATGCGTGGCAACTGATTCATATTTATGACGGTCACAGTGTCCCAGGGTCATGTGAAGTGGCCAAACCTGCTGCAACCACCCACACCACCCCCGCTGCCAATCCTCAACAGAAATGCTCACAACAATGGAAACCTCGGACAAGAGGAAGAGCGCCACCAGGGGCGGGCAGGTGTCTTGCTCGGTGTGGCTTGGGGGGCACTTTTTTCAGTGCCATTGTAACTTCGAACAGTCACTAAGTGAACTGTTGTAAGTCGAGGACTACCTGTATTTCATCACATTTTTCCTTTTCTTTTTTTTGGGGTCATCGGGTTTTTGACATCTTGCTAGGTGACTGGTGGTACTCGGATGTTGCCATATCCTAAAAGTGGTACAATGGGTGAAAAGGTTGAAAAGCCCTGATTTAGTGGAGGAAGAGCAGACTATCTTACACATATTACTGAGTGGCAAAGAAAGGGATTTTTGGATATTTGCCAGCCTGGCTTTCAGATGCTTTGGCAGCTTTGTGAAGGGTCAGGAGCTGCCCTGGCCAAGTGTGCATCAGCAGTGGGAGGAAGAAGATGGTGAAGGTCGGCTGGTTCAGGAAAGCCAAGAGGGCAGAGATGGGGGAAGATGGAGGGAAGGAGGGAGTTGAAGCACACACTACAGTCCTAAGTGTGAGTGGGCTGCCAAATGCTTGAATTTTGATCACATGACCACTGCAACAGCTGTAACTTCAAGGACTGGCTGGAACTACCATTGCTTCAGCACTGTCATAACTTCAGTCACTGAGCGAATGGTTGTTAAGCCAGGAATATCGGTATTGATGATACCAAAGCCCAAATGAGCAGATGATTTTCACGTAGCATTTTATCTAGATATGGAGGAGAGAATAGAAACCTATAGCAATCACAAAGAAGGGGCCTAAGGAGTGATGTTTCCCCGACTCCTCAACCAACACCCATCGAAACCAGTCCTGGAGAAAGTAAGAGAGCTATCACAAAATGGTACGTCAATCCCCAAGCCGTGGAGTCAGCTCAGGTTGACAGCAACAAAAGCCATTGACAGATCAAAGAACCCAAGGATGGCTACACCACTTACATTCCAACTCTGCTGCAGGTCATCCACAAGCCCAGTCACACATCTTAAAGCTGTGAAGATTGAAAGTGACAGTGTAGCATTCTGCTCCTGCAGTAGCTAGACAGATATCTATGGCAGGAACCCCAAGCAGACAAGTGTGTACAGGCAATCCTCGACTTACGACCACGACTGAGCCCAAATTTTCTGTTGCTAAGCGAGACATTTGTTAAATGAGTTCTGCCCCATTCTACAACCTTTCTTGCCATAGTTGTTAAGTGAGTCACTGCAGTTTTTTAAGTTAATAACCCAGTTGTTAAGTGAATCTGGCTTCCCCATTGACTTTGTCAGAAGTTTGCAAAAGGGGATCACGTGACCCGGGGACACTGCAACCATCATAAATATGAGTCAATTGCCAAGTGTTTGAATTTTGATCATGTGGCTATGGGGATGCTGCAACGGTCATGTGAAAAATGTTCATAAGTCACTTTTTTCAATGCTGTTGTAACTTTGAACAGTCACTAAATAAATGGTTATAACTCGAGGAATACCTATACCAGGGGTAGGCAACCCTGGCTCTTTTATGACTCGTGGACTTCAACTCCCAGAATTCCTGAGCCAGCCATGCTGAGGGGAAATGGGGAGCTTTCCATACTGAGCCATGCTGGCTCAGGATTCTGGGAGTTGAAGTCCACGAGTCATAAAAGAGCCAAGGTTGCCTACCCCTGACCTATACCATATTCCTCTTCTTGCCCTTCTTCCCCACCACCTATCTTTAATCTCTGGAAGAGCAATTTGGTTCCTAACTTTATGTCTTGTGGCAACTTTGTGCTGTAATGTGTCCACCACAGATTCTGGCTTAACGTTTCATGCACTCACCTGCCTCAGCCAGATTTAGCTCACAAGACTGTTGGTAGAATAAATAGCATTTTCTTCCCATTCACAAACCCCATCAGATGTTCTTAAGTGATGAGATCCGCTTGTCCACGGGGAGATAAAAAAAAGTGGCCAAAATCACCACCAAAGCTCTGTTTACGCATGTGTTAAAAAAAAAAAAAAGGTGGGGAGAGCTTGGATCGCTTGGTTTGGCCATTATTTTTACTTTTACTTTTTCGACCTTCTTTCCCTAGACCACCTTAAGGACTTTGGACCACTAATTCACACCCAACCCCTACTTCATGGATCGCTTTAGGGATAAACTTAGGACGGACCTCCATGTAAAAACACCCCGGGAGCTTCCAAGAAAATGCGCGCCGTCAGGAACTAAAACGAAACTCCTGGACCGAAAGCTGAAGGAGCTGCGGCTGTGTTCCCTGCGCACAGCGCGTCAACGTCTGAACGGCGAGCCCGGAGCTTCGGAGAGGCTTCCAAAGAAGCGACACGGGTGTCCGGGTTATTCCCTTATTCTCCCAGCCAACCCCTCCTTCCTTCTTCCCCCCCCGAAAGCTCTGACAACGCCGGGACAACCGTCGCAGTTTCGATTTCCTTGCAAGGCACGCCTTCTCCCTGACGTTTGGAAAGTCAAGCCGCCCCTTTAAAGCGGATCGCAGAAGAGAAACCGCGCGTCGTTTTGGAGAATCTGCTCGGTTTTTCCTTGGGCGGTCAAGAGGCGAGGATCCTTCTTCACTCATGCCGGGCGCAGGGAAGAGACGCCCCGGAGGAGCCACCAGTTCCCCCGGAGGCTCGCTCTCGAGACCCACCCGCAGCCTCCAGAAGCCTGGGAAGAAAGTTGCCGAAAAGATGCCCGAGCGGAGAGCTGGAGCCGAAGGGAGCGACCGGTTGAGTTCTCCCGCTGTCTCCTCCCCGCCACTCAGGGCTCCGTTGCTCTTGTTCCCAAGGGTGGGGTACCACCGCAGCATCTTCAAAGAGGATCCCGAAGCCATTCGCCAGATCAGCTGTAAGCAAGGTTACCTAGCGATGGCGCAGACACCGAACGCCGTGCAGCTTTTCGGCCGGGCGCAAGACGAACGGCATCAGCCAGCCCTCGTGAAAAATCGCAGTGAGTAGCCCTAGGCAAAAGCCCCTAAATCCGGATGGCCGCCAGGTGGCAGCAAAAAAAAAAAAGTTTATGTAGTGTCTAGCTCAGGGATGGCAAACCTGTTGGAGACAGAGTGCCCAAACTGCAACCCAAAACCCATTTGTGCATGGTCAGGTGCCGGGTGGGCGTGGCCATTGGCTGGGTGTGGTCCATGGGGTAGGTGTGGCCCATGGGGTGGGTGTGGCCCATGGGGTGGGCATGGCTACGGTGGTAACGGCAGACTGGATGGGACTAAAAAGTTCAATCAATCAATTCCAACTTTGCAAGATCTTTTTTTTTTTCCCCCGCAAGAAGTTGAAATTGATTGATTGATTGACCCTTTTTTTTTGTGTACACGGCGGTGGAGGCGGTGGAGGCCTAAAGCGAAAAGGTTTTATAAAACCCAGCTGAAGACCTAGCACTGGGGTGACGGTGCGCGTGCCCACAGAGAGGGCTCTGAGTGCCGCCTCTGGCACCCGTGCCATAGGTGCGCCACCACTGGTATAGCTAAATGTCTATGGAGATGCTCAGTCATCCAGGTCATACGGTAATTATCCCAAAGGTGCTTTTTTCATGAGGCAGCTGGGCTGTCTTGTTTTTTTTTCTGTTTTTTTTCTTTTAAAAAACAACAACACATTTTATTGGTTTTTTAAATTCTTAAGAAACAACTCAACTCAATACATTCACTGTCCCCTCTCTATTTCCCTCAAATAACATAATACGTTTAAAATATTCCATTTCTAGTTTAAATTTCTACTACTACTAAACCTGTTTTATAACTTTATCAGTTTACAATTACCATAAACAAATTTAACTTTAAATTAACCAGTTGTCAATTCAGGTATCCATCCCTTCCAGATATATTCTAATTCTTAATCTCTCACATCCCTCATTTTATCACCATTCTCGTTTATTTCTTCTTCCACTACACAATAGATATCCTAATAAAAATAAAATATTAATCTACCCTATACATATATAATTTTTTTTCTTTGAAGACGTTTCGCTTCTCATCCCAAAAGCTTCAGCTCTGAAGAAGAAGCTTCTGGTTGTTTTTTTTCTTTGAAGACGTTTCGCTTCTCATCCAAGGAGCTGCTCCGATTCTGAAGAAGAAGATTCGTAGATGAGAAGCAAAACGTCTTCATAGAAAAAAATCAAGACAGTCCAGTTGCCTCGTGAAAAAGCACCTTTGGGATTGATGTACTGCACTGTAAATTGTTGGTGTTCCTCCTGGTTGTTGTCTAGTGGGAAAAGTTGAGAGAGTAACCCAGTCAGCTACGTGAATGAGTGAGGCTTTAAACCTGGGTCTTTCAACCCAGGGGTCTCTTAGTCCAACACTAATCCAGGGATTGTCAAATTTGACAACTTTAAGACTTTGGACTTCAATTTGGGGGTGGAGGGGATGGGGTGAAGTCCACAACTCTTAAAGTTGTCAAATTTGGAGCCCTCTGTACTGATCACTCCAGCTTGTTGGCAGTCTTCCATCTTTTTAAAAATGACAAACCCTACCAAAGGAACTTGCAAGTAGCTGAGTTTATTAGCATGTTTTGACCTCCTAAATCAGAGGTCCCCAACCTTTTGGGGACCAGGGACCAGTTCTGTGGAGAAGGTTTTTCCGCAGACCGGAGAGTGCGTGGTTTTGTGTGCTGCCTGCATCCCACAGATGGGACTTAGATTGTTTGTGCGGCCTCGTTGCTGGCATGCCGTGGTCCGGTATCCGGTACTGGTCCACGGACCGGGGGTTGGGGGTTGGGGACCCCTTGTCCTAAATGCTTCAGCATTCCTAGAAAACAGAAAAATTGGTAAAAGATGAGGCTTTTTATTTGGCACCTTGGCTGATAAAAGGGCAAAGACATCCTGGAGTTAAACCTGGTGACTATATCCATGTTATTAAAAAATTGCTTCCTCCTGCGATATTTTTTTCAGCTTCCCTATTTAGTCATAAGTTTCATTTTATTATTGTTGTTACAGCTTAGCTGTATGTATGTATGTATGACGGTTGCAGTGTCCCGGGGTCATGTGATCCCCTTTTGGGACTTCTGACAAGCAAAGTCAACGGGGAACTAAATTCACTTTAACAACCACCTTAACAACTGTAGTGATTCACTTAATGACTGTGGGAAGAAAGGTCGTAAAATGGGGGGAAAATCACTTAACAAATGTCTCAGTACACCCAGTTCTGCTTTAGGAAGTACATGCATCAAAAATATTTTTCGTCATTCAGTATTTTCAATTATTAATGTATTAATAATTAATAATCATTGTGCTATTAATTCTTAATAATATACTCACAATTAATTAATTCAATTATTAATTAAAATTTTTTTCTTTATTTAATTATTTTAATTGAGTGGCGTAGCGGGCTAGGTAGCGGCAGATGTTTCTCTCCTCGGGGGCAAAGAAAAAATATCTCCTGCAAACTCCGTGTGGCATCAGGAAGGGCATCCGGCCAGTAAATACTCAGATCCATCCAGTCCCGATTCCACCCCGAATTAAGGGATTACAGGGTCTTAAAAGGGGAGTTTTTAATTTAATTATTTTAATTATTAGTCAAGGACCTCAAGGCATGACATTTCTGCTCTTTTGATATTGTTAACATCCACATAGGTTAGACTGAGCTGAGACATAGAATGGCCCCAAAATAATCAAGTGAAGTCCCTGAAATGTGATAACCTTTGCTTCTGTCTAACACCCCTTCACAATGACTCCAACCTTTAGGTCCAGCAGAATTTCTAGTGTGGCTTGCAACATTTATAAATGTAGTACCAATTAAGATAATCATTAGTGACAATCATGGTGGACAGTCTCATGCTATGTTTTGCAGGAAGCATCTGCTTAAAAGAGAAAATCAAGATAAATTCACTGGATTGTGAAGCATCTCACCTGCTTATTCTCTCATCGAATGGAAAACTTTCAGAGTATGATATTACAACCCAAACCCCACAAATAAGGTAGGAATTTTCTTATTATATACTAATGGTAAGGCAGTTGTCTTTTTTTTTAAGCCTGAGTGAACAAGGCTCATGGGTAGAAGAATAATCATCATTCAGTTGCTGATTCCATGAATTGTATGCAAAGAAAAAGATGCTTTTAAAAATAAGTTTGATAGCAGAATGTTTATGGAGACTCTCGGTCATCAAGGTCAAAGGTGCTTTTCAAAAGGCAACTGGACTTTCTTGTTGTTGTTTTTTCCTTGAAAACATTTCGCTTCTCATCTCAGTTCTGATAAAAGAATGCAAGATTAAAATAATAGGGTTATTTTTTTCTGCAAGTTTTTGCTTTCCTTTTTGTTGAATGCAATTATTCACCTGAAAGTTTTCTTCCAAAAGAAAAGGAGTTACATTCTTACTATTTCAGGGCATATTTAAAAAAACAAGACAATCACATACCTGGAGGTGCCACAACATGTATTGTCTTCTCTTCCTCATTCAAGTTATTAATATAAATATTCAAGAAACTTTGGCCCAGAACTAAACATTGTAGTAGCCCACTAGATATCTCTTTCCAATTGTTTATTTATTTTAGAATAGAATAGAATAGAATAGAATAGAATAGAATAGCACTGGAAGAGACCTTGGAGATGATGATGATGATGATGATGATGATATGATGATGATGATGATGACGACGACGATGATGATGATGATGATCATGTTGATGATGATGATGATGATGATGATCATGATCATGATGATCATGATGATGATGTTGTTGTTGGAAGGGACCTTGGAGGTCATCTAGTCCAACCCCCTGCTCAGGCAGGAAACCCTATACCATTTCAGACAAATGGTTGTCCAGTCTCTTCTTAAAAACTTCCAGTGTTGTAGCATTCACCACTTCTGGAGGCAGGTTGTTCCACTGATTAATTGTTCTAACTGTCAGGAAATTTCTCCTTAGTTCTAGGTTACTTCTCTCCTTGATTAGTTTCTATTCATTGCTTCTTGTCCTGCCTTCAGTGCTTTGGAGAATGGGTTGACTCCCTCTTCTTTGTGGCAAACCCTGAGATATTGGAACACTGTTATCCCCCCTCGTTTTTCTTTTCATTAAACTAGACATACCCAATTCCACCAACCATTCCTTATATGTTTTAGCCTCCAGTCCCCTAATCATCTTTGTTGCTCTTCTCTGTACTCTTTCTAGAGTCTCAACATCTTTTTTACATCATGGTGACCAAAACTGGATGCAGTATTCCAAGTGTGGCCTTACCAAGGCATTGTAAAGTGGTATTAATACTTCACGTGATCTTGATTCTAACCCTCTGTTAATGCAGCCTAGCACTGTGTTGGCTTTTTTGGCAGCTGCAGCACATTGCTGGCTCATATTTAAGTGATTATCCACTAGGACTCCGAGATCCCTCTCACAGTTATTACTATTGACCAAGGTACCACCTATACCAGTGATGGCGAACCTTTTAGAGACCGAGTGCCCAAACTGCAACCCAAAACCCACTTATGCATCATCGGGTGCTGGGTGGGTGTGGCCCATTTGGGTGGGTGTGGCCCATTGGGTGGGCGTGGCTGCAGTGGTAACAGGAGACTGGGTGGGACTAAAAAGTTCAATCAATCAATTCCAACTTTGCAAGATCTTTTTTTTTCTCGCGAGAAGTTGAAATTGACTGATTGAACCTTTTTTTTTTGCACACGGCGGCGGAGGCCTAAAGCGAAAAGGTTTTATAAAACCCAGCTGAAGGCCTAGGACTGGGGTGACGGCGTGCATGCCCACAGAGAGAGCTGTGAGTGCCGCCTCTGGCACCTGTGCCATAGGTTCGCCACCACTGACCTATACTATACCTGTACATTTGGTTTTTCTTGCATGTGTTTGCGCACGTAGCTCAACTTGTGCGAGCAGTGGGCCAATGAACACTCGTGCATGTGTGTGCCGGCCTGCTGCTTATGCAAGCCGAGTTGTGTGTGTGCATGCAGACCCACCACTCACGCAAGGGCTGTGTATGTGTGCATGCGCCAGCCCGCCACTCAAACAACCCAGTTCCCCTTCCCCCGTCCCACTGGGCCGCTAAGCTGCAAAGGTTGTGGACTGCTGCCCTATACCATTTTAGAAAAATGCTTCTCCAATCTCTTCTTTAAAACCTCCAGTGGTGGAGCACCCACAATTTCTGGAAGCAAGCTGTTCCACTTGTTAATTGTTCTCACTGTCAGGAACTTTCTCCTTAGTTCATCCATTGCTTCTTGTCCTGCCTTCAGGTGCTTTGGAGAATAGATTGACTCCCCCCCCTTAGATACAGGTAGTCCTCAACTTACAACCACAATTGAGCCCAAAATTTCTGTTGCCAAGTGAGACATTTGTTATGTGAATTTTGTCCCATTTTACAATCTTTTTTGCCACGGTTGTTAAGTGAATCACTGCAGTTGTTAAGTTAGTAACACAATTGTTAGGTGAATCTGATTTTCCCATTGACTTTGCTTGTCACAAGGTTGCAAAAAGACTGCCAAGCATCCGAATTTTGATCACATGACCGTGGGGATGCTGCAATGGTCATAAGTATGAAAAACAGTCATAAATCAATTTTTTCAATGCGGTTCTATCTTTGAACGGTCACTGAATGAACTGTTGTAAGTCAAGGACTACCTGTATTGGAACACTGCCATGCTGCTGGTCATCCTCTTCTTCTCTTTTTGTCCTGGTTCTGACTGATGGAACCAAATAAATCAGAACTCCGAGGTTACGGATTTCCTCAAATCAAACATATTCTTTGAGGAAATCTCTAGCCTTGGAGTTCTGATTTATTTGGTTCCATCAGTCGGAACCATGACATTAAACCAAGTCTGAAAATCCACCCCCCCAAAGATCCCAAGTAATTAAAATTAATAATTCCACACCCTCAACTATACTACTGATCACATTATTCAATGAAACTATTTGGCAGGCTGTTTAACAGATTGTTTTCCCTCCTCCTTCTTTGTGTAGGAATGACCTTGGTTCCCACGGGACCCAATCTGTTTAGTCTAGCAAAATGGGCTCCCTTCTCCCTCCCTTTCATGTGGCAACTTAGAACAACAAAGATGGCTTTAGCCAGGTTCATTGAAGTTGACACTTTTCTTCTATCTTTCCTAGCATTAGGGCCTCGACTTTCACATACAGCAGGGGTGTCAAACTGCCAGCCCGCAGGCAGAACGTATCATAGTGAAACTGCGCCCACCCCATTGCCGGCAATGGCAAAAAAAGTCACGATATGTCGCGACGCGTCATGTGACATTGCAAGTTTGACATCCCTGACATACAGTAACGTGTCTGAAGTAAGACAATTTGAATCTGGTCATTTATGCCTCAAGTGAGAACTACTAGCAGAGTAATATGAAAATACAGAGCTATTTGTGAAGCACACATTTCAGTGACAGGTGTTTTTACACTTGACTTTCTTGTCTACTTCTTATATAAGAGGTATTGATAACTGAGCAACATGTATTCCTTTTTTTTTTTTTTTTTGCAGACTACTGAAAGAATTAGGAAACAAATACATTGTACAGATTGCATGTGGTGACCATCATTCCATGGCTCTTTCAAAAGGTACTGGCTATTTGTGCATTTCTTTTAACAACTCTCTGACTTGCCTTTTATTTCAGTTGAAATGTCTCCGCGGATGTGCACAGCCCCAGCTAGCTTAAAATCAAGGAAAAGCTTCCATGTAAGCAGAGTGGGATAGAAATATATATATATAGATCAGTGGTTCTCAACCTTTTTAATGCCGCAACCCCCAACCGGTCATAAGTCGAGGACTAAACCGGTCGTAAGTCGAGGACTAAACCGGTCGTAAGTCGAGGACTACCCAACCGGTCGTAAGTCGAGGACTTTCCCTGCCCGGGAGCACCGCGCATGTGTGGTTCCGCCCCCTGCGCCGGCCGAGGCGTAGCTGGCAAGCGGCAGAGACGGAGCAGGCCGACCACCAGCTGGCCCAGCTCAAGGGAGGTAAGGCACCCGCCGGAAAAGGGGAAAAAAATGGCGGACAGCCTTGCTTGGCGACCCCCGTGAAATGGTCGATCGACCCCATAGGTTGAGAACCGCTGATATAGATAAATATGGATAATTCTGTATTAACAGCTTCTTTTTGTGTGTGGTGCTCAGGAGGAGAACTCTTTGCCTGGGGTGAGAATGAACATGGCCAGCTTGGAGTGGAAAAGAAGATGGGTCACATTAAGGAACCACAGCTGGTACTAGCACTGGAAGGCATTCCTTTGATTATGATTGCAGCTGGATCTGCTCACAGCATGGTTGTCTCTATATTTGGGACTGTTTACTCTTGGGGAAAGAATACGTTTGGACAACTGGGCCTTGGAGACACAGAAGGTGAGGAGAAATTCTGGGAATGGGGTGGAGGAGGCATTTGAGATGCGCTCATTCATAATCATAGGAAATGGATCAGCTAAACTCATTGTTTCTGAGCTTGGTTGTTTTCTTGCAGACGTTTCATCACCAAACTAGGTAATAGCATCAGTGCACTGATAATGTTACCTAGTTTGGTAATGAAACATCTGCAGGAGAACAACCAAGCTCATCAGAGAGCACTAAGGACCTCGCATCTTCTAGGACAGGGGTTTCCAACCGGGGGTGTGAGACGATATTCCAGGGGGTGCGAAAACTTGGGTTTTCAAAACTATAGTGTATATGCATAATTAGTTGCCGTTATTTCGAACTTTTGTAAGGGGTGCAAGAATATATCAGAAGCGTTCTAGGGGTACAGGGTATAGAAAAGGTTGAGAGCCACTGTTCTAGGAGAAGATGGTCCTGAGGGTAATTTAAATCAACACATTTGGAAAGCTCTGATTTGGTTTTCAAATATAACATATAGGTAGTCCTTGCTCATTCATTTAGCGACCAAAGTTAACAATGGCACTAGAAAAGAAATTACTTACCAGTGGCCCTCACATGATTGCCACAGTGTCCCCATAGTTACATGATTGTGATTTGGGCACTTGGCAACCATTGTGCAAACTGCAATGATCGCAGCGTTCTGTGGTCATGTGATCGCCATTTGCAATCCTTCCAGCCAGCTTCCGATAAGCAAAATCAATGGTGAAACCAGCAAGGAAGGTTGCAAATCACAGTTAATAACCATGGTAATTTGCTTAATGGCCGTGGGGAAAAAGTTGTAAAATCAGATGTAATCCCATGATGTCTCACTTAATGTCTCTACTGTTTAACAATGAATGGTGGGGTCCCTATTGGTAGTCCCTGTATGTTCTTAAATAGAGAAAGGAAGCACCGTACTTGACAAAGAATCCAATTTTGTATGCAAAACCTGGGCAGCTTGCACGTTAGGCAGCGGTATTAACCTTTTGAGCCACAGGTTCGAATCCCAGAGGGGTATGACTAGCTGATGAGAGCTAAAGAGCTTGAAATAGCTATACTAGTCTCCCATTAACTCTTTGTCAGCCACAAAAAAATTGAATTTACAGTGTTCACAGTATGTGACGTTCTGCCTATTGTTTTATCAATGAGAATAAAATGCAAAACAGAAAGACATACATCCAACACTAACAACAATAAAAAAGAAAAAAATGTGTACAAAAAAGAAAGAAAATGCGCTAAATATCAAATCAATTTAACATTAAACATAAACATATAGAATTCAGCCTGACTGGATGCTGAGGGGAAAAAAAGAAAAAATGATAAATTCTCCTCCTCTTTAGATAACGGGTTTAGAAATAGTCATAAGCTTTCCCATCCTGGTTTAACGAAAATACTACATTAAATAAACAAATATTCCTGGTAAGGAGATCTCTATCTGATAATCAAATCGGCCCAACATCAGGATCATAGTACATTTTTTTTTTAAAGTCAACACGTTAACCCAAACATTACACTAATCTTCAAATCCCTCTGTTAACCATCTGTTATTGTACGTGTTAAATACAATAACAGATTTTATTTCACCTTTTTAAAAAACATTGTCATTGTCTGGAAGTGGTTATATTTAATTTTCCTTTTACCTTTCAGACAGATACATTCCTGCACAAGTCAAGGCATTGGAGCATAAGAAGACAGTTTTTATTTCATGTGGTGGCGAGCACACTGCAGTTCTCTCAAAGGTTTATATTTACCATTTTTTAAAACTTTTCGTCTGATTTGTGTGAAATCTTGTATGATACCTTCCTCTCGGATTCACCTCTAAGAGTTTGTCTCAGAACTAGTGAGACAGGTGCCAGCCCTCATGATGATTCTGAAGGCTAGAAAGAGTCTCAGAAACCTCTTGAGATGACCATTGACACACACACAATGTTCTGAGGCTGTTTCTACCTTTGGAAATATTACATTGGCTAGCTTTCCACAGTAATTGTGTCTCGCATTGGCTGGGCGTACTTGTCAGCAGCTGTATAGAAAGATAAGGTGAGTGGACCAACACAGTTGGGTGGGGAGAAGGCCCAAGCCTTCTAGGAGTGGTGGGACAGGGAGAAGGCCTATGCTTTCCAGGAATGGTGGCACAAAGGGAAAATCTGTGCATTGGTGGGCCACCCAGCAGAGACCTCTTGTGCTGCAGTGGCTGCCATGGTGATATGGGCAGGGCACACTGCTTTGAACAAATGATCCTAAGTCGAAAATTACCTGTACTAATACAGTCTTCTCTAGAATTCTAAACCACATTCAGATAAAGGTGCTTTGCATCTAATGTCAAAGAAACACAAATGGGACAATCCAGAAGAGGGTCATGATTAATTGAGGCATCCATAAATACTGTAAAATAAATACATCTTTATTTCCTTGCTTGAATTTCTTCTTTGGCCACATCTATAAATGGGTGGGGTTAGGGTTACAGTTTTTTAAAAATCTTGTTCAATCACAGAATCAACTCTTACACCAATGCTATGTTTAAGGGCATTGTGGGAAATTAAAAGGGACTTCAACCTTTGCCATGCAGGTCTACGGATACAATTCCAAGGCTTATAGGAGGGCTGTGAAAGGACCTCTGGCCAAGACCTCAATAAGCCATGCAAAGTCCAACACAGCTGTACTCTTAGCAGGAGTAAAATAGATGCAGCCTTCAACTTACAACCAAAATTGAGCCAAAATTTTCCATTGCTAGGTGAGACAGTTGTTAAGTGGGATTTGCCCATTTTACAACCTTTCCACGGTTTTTAAGTGAATCATTGCAGTTGTTAAATTAGTAACACAGTTGTTAAGTGAATCTGGTTTCCCCATTGACTTTGCTTGTCAGAAGGTCGCAAAAGGTGATTATATGACACTTCAACCATCGTATGAACCAGTTCCCAAGCATCTGAATTTTGATCATGTGACCTTGGGGATGCTGCAATGGTAGTAAGTGTAAAAAAATGATCATAATTCACTTTTTTAGTGTTGTTGTAACTTTGAATGGTCATTAAACAAATGATTGTAAGTTGAGGACTACATGATTGTACTGCCCTCCTTGATATAGATTTAAGTTTCCTTGGTGATGTCTGTGTAGTGCAGAATATAGACTACATACTTTCTACTATGTACTACCATTCCTCCTTCCCTTCACAATGTGTACAACTTTTAATATTCCCAGCCAAGTGACAAAGTCATTGTGTTGAACGGTGCCATGTTTTTCCTCTTTCCCACTAAGGATGGATTAGTCTGCACCTTTGGATCTGGCTGCTACGGGCAGCTTGGCCACAATTCCACCTGCAATGAGCTGTTTCCGCGTCTTGTGGCAGAGCTGTTTGGTGCACAAGTGACCCAGGTAGCGTGCGGAAGGTAAGAAATCCCTGTTCCTTCCAAATATTTGATGGTGTCAGAAGGACAACTGGTATCGTGAAATCAGGAAAAGATTCCTGCCCTCCAAAGTTGCACGTCAGTGGAACGGAGGCAACAACAAGCAAGAGAAACACATACATTAATATGTGGTACCAATGAAGGAGAATATTTGTAGTTCAGGGTTGACATGAGGGGTCCTTGGTGCTCTCTGAGCTTCCTTGTTTTCTTGCAGACGTTTCATTACCTTAACTAGGTAACATCATCAGTGTTAGTAAGGAAGTGCTGTTTGCTGTCAGTTTATATTCTGGTGTCTTGCCTGTCTGTGTGGGTGGGGGCGGTCTTAGGGATTCTTTGGTTGGGCTGTTTACTAATGGCTCTTTGGCAGCTTATTGATTGGGGTATTACATAGATTAACTCCAAGGTCAACTTCAGACCAACAATCAAGTAAGCAATACCTCATTCAAGAAACTGCCAAAGAGCCATTAGTAAACAGCTCAACCAAAGAATCCCTAAGACCGCCCCCACCCACCCAGACAGGCAAGACACCAGAATATAAACTGACAGCAAACAGCACTCCTTACTAGCATTGATGATGTTACCTAGTTAGGGCAATGAAACGTCTGCAAGAAAACAAGCAAGCTCAGAGAACACCAAGGACCCCACGTTAATATGTGCTAGTGGCTGCCTTTGAAGACCAACTGGAAGCTTCAACTGGTCCAGATTACAGCAGCTGAAGTGATGCTTCAGCTTGTCTAACTGACACCTTTGCTTCATGAACTGTAGTGGTGCCAGTATTGTTCTAGGTTTGATTCAAGATGCTGCTTATTACCTTAAAAACCTACATAGCAGAGGCCCTGGGTTACTTGAAGGACTGCCTATCTTCCATGCTTTCTGCCTATCCACCATGAGCCAACAGAGTCAGTGAGCTCCATGTCCTTTCAGTGAAACAATGCCATCTAGGGGGAATCCAGGTCATTTCTCTGGAATTAGATTCTTCTTGAGATCCGTGTGGCTCCCATCCTGAAGAAGGCCTTGAAGACCTGGCTTTTCTCCTTGGGGTAAGGTAGATGGAACCCTGTAGGTGTAGGATGTGTGGTTTTTTTATATGTGTGCTGTATTGAGTGACTGGATATTATCTTGCCTATATATTTTGAATACTGCAAAATGGAATATATGAAAAATGGAAAGCAAGCTGTGTCTCATCACTGGCAAGGCATCTGAGGTTTTTTTTAAAAAAAAAAATAGGTTGGTGATATTCAGTGCTAAAATCTGGCAATAGAGAACTGACTCCTTTATTCAAGATTTTCAAAGAGCTCAACCTGAATATGAATCAGTAAATAAAAAAGCAGGGAAGGCAGATCAAAACAATTGCAAAGAGAATTATTATAAAGGCAAATCTAATAACCGTTTCAGAATCAAGAAATAAAAATTCTGCAAACCAAGAAATGGAACAGGACTCTGTTTGGTCCCCAGATCAAGGGCTGTTGCTAATCAAAAGCTATTGCTTCAGAGTTGTAAAGAAACAACAGAACAAGAATATGTTGTGGTCAACGGTCATAATATCGTCTCAGTTTATAAAGGCCTGATGAGGTCAATAAAACTTCTACCTATAAACTATCTTTGATTCTGCAAACAGATGGCACACTTTGGTTTATGTCCCGGCACTTGGGGAAGTATATGCATTTGGCTACGGAGGAGAAGGGCAACTTGGAGAAGGAAGAACAAGTGACCAGCTGGTTCCCCTTCCTCTTGATCTGGATGTTCGTAATAAACACATGAAGTACAGTAAGTCACTCCATTTTTCAAGCGGAATGTTGTGTGCAAACTACAAGCTAAATCCTAAGGCCGAAAATTATTTTCAGGTTACAATAAAAACCGGATGCATACAGAGAGATGTGGCTAGCAGGGAAAAATGTGGACCAAGACACAAATAAAGGCTGTGTCAGAGAACAAAATTGGGGTGGGATATTGGCTTGTGGTTATAATTATGTTGTCTTAATAGACAATCCTGATTTGACAGCATATGTGTTCTCAAATAAGTATCTGATTATAGCAGCTGATTCTATTTCGGTGTGCTGAGTTGATTCTTGACATGCAGCGATTGATTCTGATGAGATACTGAGAAGTTTCTGTTGAGTAGCTTGCACTGTAAGTGTCCTTAGTCAAAGCTCTACTAACTGGATTCTAGATAGAAATCTTTCTTAATCTTAAAGGAGTCACTCTTTTTTCTGTCTCTTACTAAAGGAAGTACCTTGGGCAAGGTAGTTAAAATCATTGCTGGAGACAACCAAAGTATTGTGCTTCATCTGGAAGAAAAGGTAATCAAATGGGGAACTTGCCAACAAACATATATAATTTGTAACACAAAATGCCAACATTTGACTTCTAATTTTTGTAAAAAAAATTCATTCCAGAATTGGCCTTGTCATGAGTCAAACAGGGCTTGCCTAAAGCTTTGAAAAAATGCCCTATTTCACTCACATGATAATCCTAAATGCTGCATCATTTCATGACATGGATTATTGTTCCAAAATGTTTTATTGGTTATTCAGTGTCTATCTAGACAGTTAGTAAATTCTTGTCTCAATCACATTTTATCCTTTATCAGTAGAAAGATAACAATATTGTTGAGTCAAGTTTGATGTGTTAGGAACAGGTGAATACAATTAGACTTTAGATTTAGGCTAATCTTTAGACACGATTCATTCTGGTTTTCTTCCTTAATATTTTTTTCAAGTTGACAGTCTAGTCTGGTATTTCTCAGCCTTGGTCACTTTAAGATACGTAGACTTCAATTCCCAGAATTCCCCAGCTAGCCATTCTGGGAGTTGAAGTCCACACTTCTTAAAGTAGCTGAGGTTGAGAAACACTAATCTAGTCTATAGTAATTTGTATTTTCTAGTCATTTCCTATCCAGATATTAACCAATTTAATTTTTTTCCAAATCCAAGCAGTGTCAGGCAAGGGTTGTCATCTACTGATCGCTCTTTTTCCACTAATCTCTGTTTTTAAAAAGTAACATAGTATTTTGGGCTCCATATATAAATTGCGATTCTAATAAAAGGTTGTGTTTGTACTTCTGAATTGAAGTGGAGCAGAAGAAGACATAGCTTGTCACCTGCTAAGAGAGACAAGCTATTGTTGTTAATATAATCAGGCAACTTCTAGTATCTAAGAGAGATCCAAATTATACATGGATCCATGTATGATCCAAATTATATATGGAAACGCCACATTAATGGATGTACAACCAGAATTTCTTTTTCCTGATATATTTTATACCCAGTTCTGGGAAAATATTTTCTATCCCTTAGCAGTAATACAATTTAAGGGAAGGTAATTTTCATTCCACTAAAAACTGATTTCTTAAAAGGCCAAACAAATAGTGTGTGTGTGTGTGTGTATAAAACGCCCCAAACTAGGGGCGTTAAGCAGGCTCAAGTCACTACTGCGATACATTACAAATTCAGATTTCTTTTTGCTGACAAAGAGTTAAAGAATTAAGTGGGAGACTAGTATAGCTATTTCAGGCTATATATATACACTAGTATAGCTATTTCAGCTACATACACACACACACACACACACACACACATATATATATGCTTGAAAATCAACTTTGCTCTTTATGGGTTGCTCATGCAACAGTTTCAATATTTTTATAATTCTAGTCTCTGCATTAGAGAAAGTACCTTTATGTACAGCTTCTCCTGATCTGTCGTTTAAACATGAAGCCATATACATTGTACCAGATATGTGAAAATACATTTTTACCTTTCTTTTTTTTTTTTTTGCAGAATGCATACGCTAATGTAACGCAAACACTAGCCACAGTGGAGGAGGAAAAGTTTGCTAAGTGGTTGTCCAATTTGGGTCCCAGCTGCTGGGATAATATACAATGGTAAATATCACCACAGATAATCTGATTTCCATAGTTGCTGCAAACAAATAGGCAGTCCTCACTTATCAACAGTAATTGGGATTGGGAACTCCCTTGTTAAGTAATGTAGTCATACAATGCAATGGCATTGACGTATGACAGCCGTTCCAGCAATCCCACTTGCTATCGTTACTTAAATCCCATGTGGATGCAGCTTCTTGCAATCACGTTTTCATCATTTGTGAGCTTCTGCTGGCTTCCCCATTGACTTGCTTGACAGAAGTCAGCAATGAAGGCCACGAATGGACCATTCAGTAGCCATAGCTATGAGGACTGGCTGTAAGTCCCCCTTGTTCAGCACCATCATAACTGTTGCTGAATGTGTGGTCATTAAATGAGGACTACCTCTCTGTCATAAGTTAGCGTTTGTAAAATAATATTATAAATCCAGAATCAAATGCAACTGGGCAATATCTGGTCAATGGAAAATAGACTGGTGTGTTTCCCGATTTAGTGGTATTAGTCTCCCTTTAGGGATTCTATAGGGATTCTATAGTTTAAACTAGAGTCATTGGTCCTTAATTCTAGCTAAAAGCCACCAATATATTTTAAATAAGAATAGGTACATATAAGAATAGGTACATAAGTACATGCATACATTACACTGTTTCTTTTTGAAATAAGCATTTCAAAGAGCACATAAATGGATGTGAAGATCAAATCAAACCAACAGATATGTCAAACAGAAGCAACAATACTTGTCACCACCGCCTTATAACTATTGGGCCACATGGATTGCAATCTAAACCAACCACCTTCCAAGAGCATTAAATATTTCTCGTTCCATTTTTAATTTCCTAAAAGTAACGTCTTCTTTACTGTCTGAACCAAGAGCCATTATCTGCACCTAACTATGGCATTCACAATATATCTAAAAGATGCTAAACTGTAGAAGGTATTATAGACTTTGACATTACTTTACCAGCAAAATGGTAACTTCTGCCTACTGGATTCCTGGGTGTATTGATTCCAGCGAGTAACTTTAGGGCTTTTGATGGAAGAAAAGGCCTTTTATGTTTGTCCTATAGTAAAGAATGTGATAGATGTGGTCCTGCTGTTGTCTTTTCTCTCTTGCCCTCTTATTACAAAGATTTCAGTACTATATGACTTTCTGCAAGGGACAATAGGTAGCACAAAGTTCATTTCCAAAACGAACTAGATAGTGTTATAAACAAAGATTCTTGTCCATTTCGTCTTAGTTGTAAATCCAGCTCAGTTCTGAAATCAAACTAATAAAAAACACTGCTTGCGTTTCTTTTCCATAAACAGGAATATTAAATTGATCTTCTCATCAGCAGCTTGCATCAATGGCAGTTTTCTACACCAGAGGTAATTTGCATCCGTCAAAGAACTGATATATTTTCTAACTGTTACTATAAATTAAGGAAGACCCCACCCCCACCCTGTCCCCCAACCCACCTGTTCACAGGGCCACTCACCGCCTCCAGGGCCCACTGCAGATTGCCCAGGCAGCCCAGCAGTACCATGGTGGCCACGCCCTCTGCCCGCGCCCCGCAGCATCAACTGTGCGGGATGGGGCAGGAGTCTTGTCTACGCTGCCTGGCTGCCATGTCCTTGGCTGCGCTGCTCCGTGTGGGCCACGCTCGGGGGCGATTCTCCTCCAGGGGGGCTGCTGGTGAGGAGGGGGTCGTGGGGGGAGGCGAGGCTGGGGCAACGGCACGTGTGCCCACAGAGAGGGCTCCGAGTGCCGCCTCTGGCACCCGTGCCATAGGTTCACCACCACTAATATAGAGCAAAACTAAGAAGGAGGTGTATTTATCAAGTGGTGGTTGCAGTGTTTAGAATGCAGTATTGCAGGCTAATTCTGCCGACTGCCAGCAGTTCGATTCTGATCAGCTTGATGTTGACTCAGCCTTCCATCCTTCCAAGATCGGTAAAATGAGGATCCAGATTGTTGGGGCAATATGCTGACTCTGTAAACAGCTTAGAGAGGGCTGTAAAGCACTGTGAAGCGGTATATAAGTCTGAGTGCTATTGCTATCAATCTTGAGGACCATGCTAATTATTATAAAAGGGTCTAGTTGCTACAATCTTGCGATCAACAGAGTAACTTCATACCCAAATCTAATCCAAATCTTTCACAATGTACAAGTTTACACTAGGTAGAGAAGAGACTATGATGGTGATTGATCCTTATCTTTCCTGCAGGGAAGAAAAATTCAGAACATTTGAGGAGACTGTTGGTGTTGATATGTCAGCTGTTCTTCTTTTCTTTGAGAAGATTGCCAGTAAGCCTAAAGTCTTCACAAAGGTATAACATGCCATTAAGATTTCACATATAGAATATAATAGACTATTTCCTGGTGTTTCTCTAAGGGGAGTCAAACCCAAGTAAATAATTCTGAGTGGGCTGAGAAGCTTATAAGAAAGCCTTTTATACCAAGATTGTCTCTGTACTTTATGGTTGCAGCAGAATGCAGGGTTTATTCAAGGCCAGCAATTCTTTTACCTAGAGGATCAATTAATAATTGCTGGAGAAACATCTAACGTATTTGTTTAGTAAAGGTGCTACAAATAACAAAATTGAACATTTTTTTTCTTCCTCCTGAACTTGGTTAGCTTAAAACAAGTATATTTTATTTGGAACACCATAAATTAATCTCAATTCAGAGGATTAATTTCCAATAAATTGCTTCATCTTCTTGGAACAATTGGAATAATAATAATAATAATAATAATAATAATAATAATAATAATAATAATAATAATAATAATAATAATAAAGTTGGAAGGGACCTTGGAGGTCATTGAGTCCAACCCCCTGCCCAGGCAGGAACTCTACACCATTTCAGACAAACGGCTGTCCAGTCTCTTCTTAAAAACTTCCAGTGTTGGAGCATTCACCACTTCTAGAGGCAGGTTGTTCCACTGGTTAATTGTTCTAACTGTCAGGAAGTTTCTCCTTAGTTCTAAGTTGCTTCTCTCCTTGATCAGTTTCCATCCATTGCTTCTTGTCCTGCCTTCAGGCGCTTTGGAAAATAGCTTGACTCCCTCTTCTTTGTGGCAGCCCCTGAGATATTGAATGCTGCTATCATGTCCCCCCTCGTCCTTCTCTTCATTAAACTATTTATAAATTATTTATAAACTAATTATAAATGATGAAGAAGTCTGGGAATGAAGTTGCAAAATAAAATCAAACCATGGCTTCCTTCTCTAGTCATCTATTGGTTAATGAAACCACCTTCAAGCATTAATATACCCTATTAAGCTCAACTTAATAGGATATATTAATGAGATAAATCCTCTGATCAGTGCTTGATAATGTTTCCCAAATGTACTAGAAGGAAACTTTAATGGTTTTAATAGGTGCTCACACCATCACCACCAAAATGGAGCAGGGCTTTGATAGCATGATTGTGGCTGCCATCTTAATTTTTTTGACAGCCAGTCCACATGCAGTGAACACTTTTGGATGGTAACTAGTTTCAAGCCATGGGCCTAATTTATTTTGCAGTAACTTCTTTAAAAAAATTCTGCATCTGCTTCATATACAAAACAAATGATGAACATTTTTAGCAGCTAAATTAGGCTGCTGAGAATGTTTAGGAACCAGTTAATAGACTACACCAGCACCATGGTGTCCATCTACAGCAGTGTTTCTCAACCTTGACAATTTTAAGGCACGTGGACTTCAACTCCCAGAATTCCACAGCCTGCAATGCTGGCTGTGGAATTCTGAGAGTTGAAGTCCACGTGCCTCAAAATTGTCAAGGTTGAGAAACACTGATCTACAGCAAACTAAAATGTCACCAAAAACAAGTGCATAGTACAAATACCTCTATTATACACTTGCATCCCAAGTCTGATGAGACTAGCTAGCTCATGGCATTTGTGTGGTGACAACATAAATCTCATTTTGTCTTTTGCCTCCCATGAATGCCCAGGCAGCAGGGCAATATAATGAAAATATAGACTATAATGCAAGGCATGGTTAGTCTCTTTGATTATCTGGTTCTGGTCAAACTGGTTCTCTGGGAAAACAAATCCAATACAAGAATAAGCATTCAAATTCATAATGATCCTGAAGACAGAGGCTCTTAATGAGCTTGCAATCCCAGCACACCTGGAGACCACAGGTTGAAGAAGAGCTGTTCTAGATTATGCTGTCAATTCATGTGCATTCCCCTTGCAGAATATGTTTCATGGCATACATGTTACATAAGATGCCTCCCATGATTGAAAATGAAAAAATAAATGCAGAACTTAAAGAAGTCTCTAACAATAACTCTCAGTCTGAGTCCTTGACTTACAATTCAAATACTTTCTCTCTGGTTCTCCACAGTAGACTTTGTGCTGTGTTCAGTACTATACCCTGTTTTGTCCCATGCATTTAACTGTAAGAAAAGTCAATAAAGAGTTGGAAGGAATCTTATAGATAGAATTCTTTATTGGCCAAGTGTGATTGGACACACAAGGAATTTGTCTTCGGTGCATAAGCTCTCATTGTACATAAAAGCTATAAGTGATAAATCATGATCATAGTCATGGTAAAAATACTTTCATCATAAATCATAAGATACAACACTTAGTGATAGTCATAGGATACTAAATAAGCAATCAACATAAATCATACTAGGAACTAAATAAAACAATATAAATTGTAAGATACAAGCAACAAAGTTATAAGGAGATAAGGAGATAAGTAATAGGAAAAATGAGAAGAATAATAGTAATACAGTCTTACTAAATAGTTTGACAGTGTTGTGGGAATTAGTTGTTTAGCAGAGTGATGGCATGGGGGAAACATTGTCCTTGTGTCTAGTTGTTCTGGTGTGCAATGTCCTATAGTGTCGTTTGGAGGGTAGAAGTTGAAACAATTTATGTCCAGGATGTGAGGGGTCTGTAGATATTTTCACAGCCTTCTTTTTGACTCGTGCGGTATACAGGTCGTCAATGGAAGGCAGGCTGATAGCAATTGTTTTTTCTGCAGTCCTAACTATCCATTGAAGTCTGTGTTTGTCTTGTTTGGTTGCAGAGCCAAGCCAGACAGTTATAGAGGAGCAGGTGACAGACTCAGTAATTCCTCTGTAGAACTGTATCAACCGCTCCTTGGGCATCTGAGCTTTCTGAGTTGGCGCAGGAAGAACATTCTTTGTTGTGCTTTTTTTGATGACATTTTAATGTTAGGTGACCACTTTAAGTCTTGAGATACTATAGAACCTAGAAACTTGAAGGTCTCTACTGTTGATACTGTGTTGTCTAGTATTGTAAGAGGCGGTAGATTTTAGGGTTTCTCCTAAAATCTACTATCATTTCTACAGTTTTGAGTGTATTTAGTTCAAGATTGTTCCGGCCGCACCACAAGGTTTGATACAAGGCTAGTTTGATCATGTGCTCAAATATTTCATATAGGGAAGCAAGAAGGAAAACCGGACTCAAGAAATGAATTAAATGCATACATTCTTCTTCCATTCTTCTCTTCAAAGGTGAAAAAGGCTCTGAAGAGCCTTCTGGATTGTCCCCTTTACACTCCAACCTCGCCAGAAGCACTCAGGTTCTTCCTCATTGTGCCCGTACTTTTACAAAAGCAAGATTCCGATTCGGATCATCTCCTTTGCCAACTGGCAAAAGCAATCTGGAACCTCCCACAGCAAGGCAAGCAAGCCCTAGGTAAGGCAGGCGTTCATTTGCTAATTTCGCTGAAATTTCAAACTTCCAGAGAAGTATCAAACTATTTGAGGAAATCACCTCTTCACAATTACATCTGCCCATCCTATCAGGCCAGCCAGGAAGGGCATATTGCAGACCCCATCTATTAAGGAGTTACATCTGATGGGACCCAAGACATGGGCCTCTTCGGAACATCACCCCCTTCTTCCCACAGTGTGACTAGCTCTGACCCCCAGTAACCTCCCAGAAATCCTTCAATATGTGATTTTTTCGGCAGTTCTAGGGATCTCTTGGAAATAGGGAGCCTGTAAGATGGCTTCATTATATGTGAATCTTTTAAATGCTCTCTCTCTCTCTCTTATTTATTTGTATGTTTTCTTGTTTCAATGGTTGCTTTAAGGAATATTTTTATTGTTTGTTTTATTGAGATGGATAGCTGTATCAATTTGATAAATAAAATATTACCCAAACACCCCAGATTCTGAGTTTTGCTTGGATAATAGAGCTACTCCCAATCACTCCTGTTAGACCAGCCAGGTTTTCCAATCTCACAACCACCATCTCGGCTGCAGTCCCAGCACACTTGATCTCTACAGCAGAGCCCTTCTTGAAAAAAAACAGAAATTCTGTCTCCAGAGTTGTGGCTGCTCCATCACTGGAGGTTTTGAGATTGGACAGCCATGTGTCTGGAATGGTATAGAGCAGGGGTAGGCAACCTTGGGTCTTTTATGACTCATGGACTTCAACTCCCAGAATTCCTGAGCCAGCATGGCTCAGCTTGGAAACCTTTCCCCTCAGCATGGCTGACTCAGGAATTCTGGGAGTTGAAGTCCACGAGTCATAAAAGAGCCAAGGTTGCCTACCCCTGGTATAGGGTCTTCTACTTGAGTGGGTGTGTGTGTGTGTGTGTGAGAGAGAGAGAGAGAGAGAGACTAGCATTGAAGTTTGTTATTCTTGGTGGATCTCCTACTGTACATCTGAAGTTAAATAACAAAACGTAACTACAAAAGGCCCTGGATGGAAGATGGAAATCAATATAGAAGTCATATGAATGGCCAGGGATTGCTGCTAAAAGAGAGAAAATATTATGGCCCATTGTAATACCTTCAGTGCAAAATAATGTGTGTTTCATTCAACATTTTTTGTGCTACCTGGGCAAAGATATACATATATACATACATATACACATACATCTTTGTCCAGGTAATACAGAAAACGTTGAATGAATCACATGTTATTAAGGAATCATTACAGATAATCCTTGACAGTTCATTTAGTGACCATTCAAAGTTACAACGGCACCGAAAAAGGTGACCTAGGACCATTTTTTTATACTTAACAACCATTATAGCATCCCCATAGTCACGTGATCATAATTCAGATCCTTGGCAACTGGTTCGTATTTATGACGGTTGCGATATCCTGTGATCACTTTTATTTAACTTTCTGACAAGCAAAGTCAATGGGGAAGCTGGATTCACTTAACAACTTGGTTATTAATTTAACCTCTGTGATGATTCACTTAGCAACCGTGACAAGAAAGGTTATAAAATGGAGCAAAACTCACTTAACAAATGTCTCGCTTAACAACAGAAATTTTGGGCTCAGTTGTGGTTGTAAGTCGAGGAATACTTATACATTGTCTGCCTTGTAATGGTTCATAGGAGAGGGCATTACAATAATAAGACCAAGCAGTATTTGATGCTTCAAATGCATCAAGATAGGAAACCCATCCAAGCACAGGTCATCCTTGACTTGTGGATGGGGAGGAACAGACTCAGGCTCAACCCTTCCAAGACCGAGTGGCTGTGGTTGCCGGCGCCTCGGCATAGTCAGCTGACTCCATCGCTGACTATAGGGGGCGAAATTTTGGCCCCCTCAGAGAAGGCACGCAACTTGGGTGTCCTCCTGGATCCACGGCTGACACTGGAAGACCATTTGTCGACCGTGACCAGGGGGGCGTTCCATCAGGTTCGCCTGATTTACCAGTTGCGTCCTTTTCTGGACCGGGACGCTTTGCGCACAGTCACTCAAGCTCTCGTCACCTCCCGCCTGGACTACTGTAATGCTCTCTACATGGGGCTCCCTTTGAGGAGCACCTGGAGACTTCAACTGGTCCAGAATGCGGCCGCGCGGGCGGTGTTGGGAGGGACTCGTCGCTCCCATGTAACACCGCTCCTGCNTTACTTAGGGATGATTTTAAGAATAATTTTAATAGGAATAACAGCTTCTAATATTTGGTTTTTAATTTGGTTTTATAGGGGTCTATATTTTTTGTATTTTGTATTTGTACTTGTTTTAATATGCTGTGCACCGCCCTGAGTCCTGCGGGAGAAGGGCGGTATATAAATTAAATAAATAAATAAATAAATAAATAAATAATAAATTGAGCCCAAAATTTAAGTTGCTAAACAAGACATTTGCTAAGTGAGTTTGGCCCCATATTATGATCTTTCTTGCCACAGTTGTTAAGTGACTCACTACAGGAGTTAAATTAGTAACACAATTGTTAAGTGAATCTGGTTTCCCCATTGACTTTGCTCATCAGAAAGTCGCAAAAGGTGGTCACATGACCCCGGGACACTGCAACCGTCATAAATATGAGTCTGAATTTGATCATGTGACCATGGGAATGCTGCAACCATCACAAGTGTGAAAGATGGTCATAAGTCACTTTTTTCAGTGACATAACTTTGAATGATCACTAAGTGTAAGCTGAGGACTACCTGTACCTTTCCCATGAACTATTTTTGATGGTCCTCAAGAATCTGGGTAATTGGTTTAGATTACATTGTTTCTGAAAGTCGTTGGGCAATTGTAGTTTTTGCTTAAGGAATTTCTTCCAGTAACATTTACAGGTATCACCTGAAACAAAAGGAAGCAGCCCAATGGCCTGATAAATGATTTTGAATCTATAATTAAATATGGCTTCCCAGGTTTTTGTTTCAATTTTAATCAGCCCAGATTCTAGCCTTATCCAGGAGCAATAGTTACAGTGCATCCCATTGCGAATCGGAGTTACGATAAATGTAAATGTTCTCACTGTGTTCTTTGATTGTCTGCTCTCTTTTCAGAAACTCTCTGGTCCAATCTGGAAGTCGACTTTTTTAAGGATCTGGTGTCCATGTTTCAAAGGCTTATCGGTGTTAATATGTTTTCGTATTATAAATACCGCAGAAGTTTGCGTTCAAAGAAAAATGACTACATTATACCTCTTGAGGTCTTCCAAATGCTTCATCAGGTAAGAAACAAACTTGGACTGAAAATAGTAATGTTATTGTGTATGTTTTTTCAACATTCAGTTTGAATAGTGTGTTTCGTTCTTTAGTTTCATTTATCTCCCCTCCCCCTTTTTTGTGTTTTTTTTGATACTTTGTACATTTTCCTTTCTATCATTATATTAAAGCAATACAATCAACATGAAGAGAAAAAAACATATATATACAGCACACACATAAAGGAATGATGACACACACATATCTCTTTTTAACTGGCTTTGATTTTGTTAAATAGTGGCTGTTCTGTTTTGATCGTGAAGACATTGAGACGAGGCAGGAGTAACAACAGTCTTCTCTTTATTCAATCTCCAACAGAACCAAAAACAAAATGGCGTGGATTCCTTTTATACCCCTTTGCAGGGACAGTGTCAGCCAATCAATGCAACGTATTTCTCCCACCTTGTACATGCGCAATAGGCTGGAGACAGCCTGTCTGGTCCCGGGCATCCACGTGGTCTGCCTGGGCCTCTCTGCAGCTTCCTGCACCTGCTGAGTCACTCAGCAGGCCCAGGACATAACAATGGCTTTTAGCCATGGATAGATTGGCCTCGAGTAAACATGGCCCTTAACCGAAAACGGGAATTGCCCACTGTTGATCTATTCTAGAGCAATACTCTTACTTATTTCAGCAATCACAAAATCACTGATCAGCATAGGTGCAAAATATTATGTCTTCATTCCCAACAGCATGATGTGAATGGACTGGTTTGAATATTCCCAAAGTCAGTAAGATACTGCTTAAAATGCTGAAAGCTTATAAACCAGTTTTTACTGTGAATTGGCTCAGGATGAAGTACTTGGATCACCAAGTACTACCAGGCAAGAGTCTCCACAGTCACCGTCTGATCCAAGGCTCTCTCATTGCCTGCCCATGCCAGGCCACAATTGAAGCCTCAGCCAATTCATGTACCAGGGCTTCAGGAATAATGGCAAGCTCTCTTTGAAACCCTACTGGATCTATCAGTCAACTAGGGTGGACCAATTGAATAGGCCTAACCTCTCTGTGGCGCGGGGCAGCTGCAGAGAATTTCACGGCCAAAAAGGAGAGATGTTAACATCCTCTAATCCCCAGATCACTTTGCCATCCCTTGAGACAAAGACCAGATTCAATGTTTGACCTCCTTTGAGTTGGGCCATCAATAAGTTGGATCAGATCCATGGTTGCCATGGTGGCCATAAACTCTGCAGGGGTAGGCAACCTCGGCTCTTTTATGACTCATGAACTTCAACTCCCAGAATTCCTGAGTCAGCTATGCTGACTCAGGAATTCTGGCAGTTGAAGTCCATGAGTCATAAAAGAGCCGAGGTTGCCTACCCCTGAGTGATCTTTGACTCCAGGTCCAGAGAAGGCAGACTGAAGTCCCCCAGAACCATAAACCTAGGGAACTCCTCCGTGGAGTCCAGGAATTTTGGTAGGCCTCTGCCAGTGCCCGGGGAGGAAGGTGAAAAAGCTGCAAGCCTCACTGATCCCTGCAACCCAACTCCACAAACAGAGTATCATATCTGGCTCTAGGGCAGTGCCCCCAAGGACAATCAGAGACTCCTGAATTATAATGATAGCCACCATATCACCCCTGCCACAAAGGTGTGGCTAGTGCCACACTTGAAAACCAGCAGGGCACATTTCTGAGAGAGGAAGAGCTTCCTCTGTGCCCAACTAGATCTCGGCTCTCTTATCTATGATCATCTCTTATCTATGATCAGATTAGATTGTGAATGAGGTGAGCTTTGCAAATAAAAGCAAATATATACGTATTGCAGGATCCAATCTGAGATGGTCACCATTAGGTTTATTTTTCTAAGCTTTCCGGCTTTGGACTCCCCCCCCCCTTCTCCAGAATGTGTGTCTTCTTCTTCTTCTTCTTCTTCTTCTTCTTCTTCTTCTTCTTCTTCTTCTTCTTCTTCTTCTTCTTCCTCTTCTTCCTCTTCTTCTTCTTCTTCTTCTACTTCTTCTTCTTCTTCTTCGTCTTCTTCTCCTTCTCCTCCTCCTCCTCCTCTTCCTCTTCCTCCTCCTCCTCCTCTTCCTCTTCCTCCTCCTCTTCTCGTCTCCTCCTCTTCTCCTCTCCTCCTCCTCCTCCTCCTCCTCCTCCTCCTCCTCCTTCTTCTTCTTCTTCTTCTTCTATATCCGTTATCGGACGTTGGCGATCATGTTGGCGATCCTCTTTTTATCAGCAGCCGCACGAAAAAGTGCTGCTGAGTTTTGTTCAAACCAGTCCCTTAGATTTTGAAGTCACAATGTTCTTCTTCTGCCTGGACCTCGCTTGCCTTCAATCTTTCCCTGGAGGATTAAATGGAGTATGTCGTATTTTTCTGGGTGTCGCATCACATGTCCGAAATATTCTAATTTTCGTTTTTTAATTGTTTTGATGATTTCCCTTGGCTTTCCCAGGCGGCTTATCACCTCCTCATTTCTGATCTTGTCAACCCAGCTTATATGTAACATGTTGTATTTAGAAGGTGCCTGGTTGGGTGTGACTTTTAGTTGTTAATTAGGGTGTTGATTGCTGGCTATTAGGTCCTTAGTTGTTGTTTCTTTGTGCCTTGTCCTTGGCTCCTAAGCACCTGGTAAGCTGATGGTAAATCAACACGCCTGTTGACTGACAAGGGGCCATTTCTCAGGCTTCAATCAAGGTGAACTTTATTGCTGGACAATCTAGCATTAAGCAGCAATTGCCAGAATACAGGGCCTCCAAAGCTCCCGAAACCAAGCTTTGGGCTGTGCACAAGCGGTTGGAAACTGACATTGGTGTTAGCCATTGGGTCTTCTTCCCCCAAGATGGTTCACCCCCTGCCTTCTGCCCTATCTCCCCATGCAGGTCATCACCTCAGTGCCGACCCCTTGCCACACACCCCTGTTATTTTGCCATTCGTTTTGCATTTTGATTGGGTTGCACCAAAAGTACAAGAGCACTCTTTACAGAAGCAGAACAAAAATATATCCTTGCAAAGTGAGAGAGCTTGAATCTCTTTGGTCCATAGTTCAAAGTAATTCATATATTTTTCTTGTGTTTTGCATTATGAATGTGAAATCTGAAGTCCTTTGGAAAAGCTCTGTTTAGGGACTGATTTTCTTAAGAATAACTTTTGTGGATTTGGAAAAAGACTTCTTAAAAGTTACCCAACCCTAGATGCTTGTTTAGGAAAAACCTTCTAAAATATCTGTGTATTTGTTTTTATATTAAAATTAGGTGCAAATGCTGGATTGACAAGTGCAGAATTTGTTTTGGCTTGTATTTTAACTGATTATCTTGTCCCCAGATTAACTTCTGCTTTAATCCTGTTTATAAATGCAGGTAAATTGCAGGTCTGACTTCAAAATTCAGGAAAGTAATTTTTATGTACCCGAAGTAAGGAAAATTATTTTATATTGGATTGACGCCGCATTTTCCTACGATGTAAGTGCTTATTTGTTTGTTTTATTTTAAATTTAGACTTGCCCGAATTCTGATGATTTTGGGTGGTTTTCACATTAAAAAATATGTTGCTTCCAATATAAAAGGTATCTGAAAATGGTAGACTAGCATTAAACTGGATAATAGCTTTGGGTTAAGTTTTTGATATTAGCCAATAGACTAGGAACAGTTCTTCAAATAAAATCACATGACCCTTTTACAATATTTCATTGGTCTGAAGTGTGAAAAATGGTCAAAGTTTCAGTGTAACTTTGAACGGTCACTAAACAAATGGCTGTAAGTCAAGAACTATCTATATGAATACAAGTAGTCCTTGACTTACGACTCTAAGTGAGAAATTTGTTAAGTGAGTTTTGCCCCATTTTACGACTTTTCTGGCCACATTTGTACACATAAACACTGAAAATCATAGTAATATTTTTAATGTACTAGTTATGTCTAGCTCCTGATTATTGTGTTGGTGTATTAATTTTTAAAAAGTAATATGACTATTAGGTCTGCAGGGATCATAAGGTATTGTTTAGTGGCCTACATTGCTAACTGACTTTGACACCACTGGTACAGTATACATAAGGAAGAAATTCTAATTCTCTTCTCTCCATCTTCTCACAAGATCTAAATGTGGAGATATAAAACCGCAAGACTAAGGTGCAATTTAGACTTCAGATTGATTTCCCTATTGCATCTATATCAGTGAACTATTTTAAAATGCTACTCTGAATAGAAAGTAAATGTGCCTATTTATCTGCGACTGTAGTGGAAATTGATAGGAAATTTTTGCATAGAATAGCTCTCGGGAGGATTGGTAGTTATTCCAGCAAAGGGACAGTTCTTTAAGCATGATTGCAATGTAGTTAACTAATTCTTTTTTGTTTGTTTGGTTTTTCTGAGCAGTTCAATTTACTGTGGGACCCGACATATGATATAAGGGTGAGTTGTATAGAAATTATTTCATCAAGTTTATATTTCTTCTGGTCAAATATCCCTTTTTTATTCATTTCTATCAGACAGGGAAGTGTTTTGCTGGGCGTATCTTAAAAGAAATATGGAGCCATTCTTTCCTGGCCATTTTATATCGATACTGTGGACCGAACATGGAAGTTTTAGAATGGCATGGTTTGTGCCTATTGTGCTAGATCAGGGGTCTTCAAACTCGGCCCTTTTATGACTCATGGACGTCAACTCCCAGAATTCCTCAACCAGGCACGCTGGCTGAGGAATTCTGGGAGTTGACGTCCATGAGTCATAAGAGGGCCGAGTTTGAAGACCCCTGTGCTAGATAATGGTGGGATCTTTCTAAAATGCATGCTTTTAAGCAGGGATTAACACCAATCAGGCAGAAAACAACATTGTAATCAAGAAATTACCAAGGAGAAAAACACACCCTCACCCAAACTGGCAGGGTAGGCTCATATAAGCAAGAAATAAACCCCACATATTTGCACTGATAATGTTATGTAGTTGGATAATGAAACATCTGTGAGCAAATAATTAAGTTAGATCAGAGAGCACCAAGAATTCCACAGCTCAACCCTGAGCTATAGATATTTTCTTCTATTAAAATGGTTGCCTTTACTGTGGGCTGGATTCAGTGGTTTTTATTCTGTATAATAACATGATTAGTTGGGTTTTGGTTTATAATAAGTCAACTTTAAAATGTACATGTCTTAAATCATAAAAAAATCCTCCCTTGTTATTTCAGCTGGCTTTATCAGAGTTCTGCCAATTTCCTTTGATATTGAATCTTGAAGATAAAATTGTGATACATAAAGTAAAGTGCACCGTGTTGCACATGGAATACACAATGGTATGTATACCCAGGAATATAATGCAATGTTAACAAAATTTGCTGAAATGGCTTGTAACCCAGTGTTTGTATCCTAGAAAAACACTGTAACCTCTACAATGGATATAAGGAGGCAATATTTACTACAGGATACCTTGCACTATCTAAGAAGTGCAGAAGAAAGTTGCTTTCAGCATTTTTTTACAGTAAGTATCCAATTTTGTATATTTATAATCAAGCTATAGTTATGTGACAGAAATGTTGTAAGAGACTGGCAGGCATTTACCTCTCAACTGAGAAGTAACAATCTAGAACAGAGGTCCCCAATCTTTTGGGCACCACAGATCAGTTATGTGGAGAGAGGTTTTTCCGCAGACTGGGAGGGGGTGTGGTTTTCTGTGCGGCCTGCATCCTGTGGATGGGGCTTTCCTTGTTTGTGCGGATCGGTTGCTGGCATGCCATGGCCCGGTACTGGTCTAGGGACCGTGGGTTGGGGATCCCTAATCTAGAGGCTCATTTTGGCATGCAACCAACTGCAATGTTGGACTAATTCTGGTTGATACATCATTTAGATGCTTTCCTTATAAAACCTGAATAGAAATATTGTGCACTTTTAAAAAAGACTCCACAGCATATTTAAAAATACAACAGTTAAGTATATAAAATACATAGGCACTGCAGATGCTTTATCAGAAACAATTTCCTATTCAATTCCATTATTTTTCATTTAGTGTTAAGTTTCATGACACAACACTCTAATTTATTTGTGGAGCTGAATTCAAAGTTCTGGGTCTGTGCAGAACAGCAGTGTAGTTTAATCAAATAGGCATCAAAGCTAACATTACATCATCAGTAAGCCAAAACCTCTCTATGTAGTATACCGTATATCTGTGCTCATGTTACACATTCAAAGCTTTTCATCTATGAATTTGATAAAGCACTATTTTGCACTCACAGCGTATATAAATAATTGCCTGCAATCATCAGGTAATAAACCTGTCTTTCAGAATTAACTCTACAGAATTTTTTTCACCAAAGACTAGAAAAATGATATTTTCTAGACAAGCACACACATCTAGATTGCCTTGCTGCATGCCTAAGATCTTTTGTTGAGATAAGATTTGCCTGCATCACTTCATATTGCTTGCTATATTTGTTTTCGGTACTGTAGGCATGCCCTAAAAAGCAAGTGACTTTTCAATTTGCTTGGATATACTTGCATCTGAAGATAGCCTGTGTTTCAAAAGATCATTTCAGGTGTAGTTTATGGGTCAGAATATTAGGAATTGGTTTTCAAAAAAGCTTCACTCCATTCTTTATTTTAAGGGCCTTCTTAAGAGTTAAGCAGAATCTAATTGTGGCGAAAAAGTTTAAGGCCCATCCAAGTCCAGAGATGGAAAAATACATAAACTGGGATTGTAATTGGAAGCAGCAGACTGTAGAAACAGATGCTGGTTGTATTTGTGCAGCCCTGGGGGAAGTTTTCATCAACACTGGCTGAATAGAAGAGGCCAGCTAAAGACAACAGTGGTACAAGCACAGTCATGGTAGGAAACGAGGGAAACATCTTACTCCAATTGTCTTCCAACTTCCTTTCAAGAAGATAATCTTCTAGGTTTGTTCAGATTCTGTTTCCTGCTTCTCCTTGCCCATCATTCTTGCCACCTGAGGTATCATATTAGGAATGCCATCTATGATGGGGTACGCTATGCCTAGTTCTTCATTAATTAACTCATTTGTAGATTCATTATATCTAGAAAATACAGCAAATAATGACCCATGAGATTTACTATTGTTCTTGATTTAAGAAATATACTATATACATAAATAGTAAGCTAGTACATGGTAGGTGGGGGGGGGGGAAGGGACACTCAGCACTTGGAAGCTGAGGAACTATGCATAAAATAAAAGCATTAAACCTTTTCCTGCAAGAGGGATCCTGAATGGGCAGGACTTCAATTCACTGGCATAAATTCCTTAGTTGTGGGTCAAATAATGGATGGACAAAGTCATTCAGTGGGAAGCTGCAGAGCAGCCCAAAATCTAGAATGCTATTCTTTTATCGGGAATTACGAGAGGGAGAAACCACTCAATCTAAGAAAGAAAAATATATATGTAATGTTATCTTAATAAGGATTTCTGAGGTGGCAGTTGTAAAAATAACCATGCCTATTCTGCATCAGCTGTTAGAAAGAGAAATGGTTGAATTAAAGTAAATGAATTGAATAATTTCACGATTTGGCAGCTTTTACACGAAGCTCGATGAAGGGGGGAATAAGATGCTTCTCACCCCCAAAGTCTCCTAGCTATGTATCCATTCGGAAGAGTTTCTATGAAGCTATTAATCATATATTATTAAGCAAATGAACATAATAATAATAATAATAATAATAATAATAATAATAATAATAATAATAATAATAATAATATTAAGCAAATGAACATTATTATTAAGCAAATTGCTTCATAAGCAATTCAATTCCAAACTACTTGAAAATAGGGAAAGGCGGATGAGTTTCTCATCCGGCGAGGAGCCGCCGCCTTGGACTACATAACCCATTGCTACCAGGGAATGCGTGCTGGCCACGGGGAGCGGGTTTAGCCCGACGCACCGGGCGGCCCGGGCAAAAGCCGCGACGGGCAAACGAGAACGGGCGGACAGCAAAACCAGGGCAAAAGCTGCTAGGCCGACCTGAGCGGCTTTTTCGACAGGGGACACACGAGGATCTCCAGCAGCCCGGCGTCGAAGGGCGGCACTTGCTGTCCTTGGCCGCTGGTTTTCCCCCCGTTCTCCGCCGCCGCCGCCGCGCAAGCCGCCCGGCTGGCCCGCAGAAGCCCCCGGCGCGGGAGGCGAGTCAGAAGCCGCAGGCAGGGCAGGACGAGCATGATCCGCCGCAGCGCACGAAAGAGCGAACTAGCTAGGAAACGAAACCGGCTTTGCGGAAACTTCTTCCGGGGCAGCAGAACGCCCGAAAAGCGAACCCCGGTACTTTTAAGCCCTGTGCGTTTGGTTCCGGGTGGGGGTTTGGCCTGCTGGTTTTCCTCCTCGGAGCAACACGTGGGCGAATTTGAAGCCGAGTATGCGAGGTGGATGGACTGGGCCAGGGGTAGGCAACCTTGGCTCTTTTATGACTCGTGGACTTCAACTCCCAGAATTCCTGAGCCAGCCATGCTGGCTCAGGAATTCTGGGAGTTGAAGTCCACGAGTCATAAAAAGAGCCAAGGTTGCCTACCCCTGGACTGGGCGGTTCGGGAGAAGAGGAGCAAGATGGCTTGGACCTGGCTGACTAGGTTAGGTGGACTTACCTCAGCCAAGCGCCTTCTAAGTCAGTGTTTTCCAACCTTTTGTCAGTTTGAAGATGTGTGGCCTTCAATTCCCAGAATCCCTCTGGCGGCAGCATGGTGGCTGAGGAATTCTGGGTGTTGAAGTTCGCAAGTCTTAAAAGTTCCCACAGGAATATTCTTGGTTTTATTATAATCAATTGACAATGAGGTGCGGCGTATGGATCAAAGAGCTGGCATTACCTTACAGGATGCAAATTTGATGAAACAGATTAAAGATCAATCTCAAGCTCATATTAAAAGAATGTATAATGTATTGATTGAGTTGGATTCAGAAACAGAATTGGTTAAGGACTGTCTGATAAAATGGGCGCAAAATATACAAGAACCAATTTTATTGGACACATGGGAGATAATTTGGGTTAGAAATGTAAAATTTACTCAAGTTCAAAATTTTTATAAAATGTTTTATAGGTGGCATCTGGATCTTCAAAAATTGTCTTGTATGTACCCTAATTTACAACCCAAGTGTTGGAGATGTGGCAATTTAGATGCATCTTATTTTCATATTTGGTGGACATGTAGGGAAGTTAAAGCATTTTGGATTAAGATATGGTGGAATACTCAAAATATTTTTAAGAAAAAGATAAAGTTTAAGCCGCAGATATTTTTGTTGGGTATTATGGAAGATTTGGATGCAAAAGAAATGGAATTGATGTTGAACTTTATAACTGCTGCAAGACTATTAGTAGCTCAATATTGGAAAACGGAACGTTTACCTACTATAGAAGAATGGTCATTTAAAGTCTCGAATTTAGCAGAAATGGCCAAGATTTCCGCTTATATGAAGGATCACTCGCAAGAAAGATATATTTTGGTTTGGAGAAGATGGATAGATTATATTGAGTGTAAATATGGGACTAAAAAATATCATTTGGTTTTTGAGTAAATTTTAGAGTATTGTGGTTGTATAAAGGTTAGAATATTTTATTTAGTATTATTTTTAATTATTAAAGTGTTATTATTATTATTATTTTTAATAATTGTACTGTTTAAAAGAGAGTTAAAGGAGGTTATAGATATGCTATTTTAATAGTTGATTAATGTTAATTAGAGTATGATTATGTTATTGTTAACCCTGTGATTGGCACTGGGAAGTGAGGGGGGAGGGAGGGGGGTGGAAGGGTGGGAAGGGGAAGGGGGGATTTATATTGTAAAATTTTATAAAAAAAAATTTATAAAAAAAAAAGTTCCCACAGGAACCTTCAATTCCCTTAATTCCTTGGGCAGCATGGTAGCTAGGGAATTCTGGGTGTTGAAGGCCACAGATCTTCAAATTGCCTAGGTTGGAGAACACTGTTCTAAAAGAGAAAAATCTAAGAATAATATTTTACATGGATCTCTGATTGGTTTTTGTTTTTGTTTTGTAAGGCGAGGTATAAATTGAGTAAATCCTAATCCTGTTTGTTTTTCTTGGGAATTTCACTGATTTCTGATCAGCATTTTTTTTTTCAGTTTTAAGGATAGCTTGAGAGGCTTTGGTCTTGAAAGGCCATTAGCACATCTGAAACAGGCTTCGCTGGAACTTTCAGGGATCTTCTGAATAATTCAGAGGAAAGAACTAGTCACTAATTTCTGAGCAACCAGAAATATTTTTATATTTAGTTTATCAGTTTAAATTTGTGTAAATATCTGGCTAATTTGACTTAATTCTTTAGGTGCATTTTGAAGGAGAACTTGGGACCAAGTATGGGGGCCTGATCCAGGAATTCTTCACAATTATCAGCAGACAACTGTGTAGTCCAGAAGCACAAGTATTCAAGCACTTTGAAGACTCGAATCGTATTTGGTTCTCTCATGAGGTATGTATAACCATGTACTGCATTTATTTAGGCTTTCTTCTGTTAGCTATAAAAATAGGAATTACCTTGGAGGTAATTCATCTCTTTGACCATTGACTTTTCAATAGAGGTTAGAAAATGCACATGATTGTCCCCTAAAAGGAATGAGAGAGGATAGCTGACCTCTTTCTGGCATTGTCTATGCAGAGATATATTATTTGTAGTTCTGGAAATTTGTTGTCCATCTAGCTTTCATGAATAACAGCTGTTGATATATTTCTCCTCTATTAATGGGGAAATGGCTAGCATTAATAAAGGCTACATTTGATCATCATCTGATGAAACGTAACAGTTTCTGCTTGTAACATGGATGTTGCATCAAGCTTTATCTTTATTCTGGTGTGAAAAGTTATTCCTTTTAAAACAACTATGAAGCAACACTATGGTAGAAAGTAGGACATGCATATAAATTACTCAGAGATTGGTTTCCTTTACTACTTTTGCTTTTCTTTTTGGAATCAAGAGTCTGTGCTTTCCATTGTTTCCTAGTACAGGTAGTCCTTGACTTACAACAATTCATTTAGTGGCCATTCAAAGTTGCAACAGCACTGAAAAAAGTGACTTATGACCATTTTTCACACTTGACCATTGCAGCATCCCCATGGTCACACAATCAAAATTCAGACATTTGGCAACTGACTCATATTTATGACAACTGCAGTGTCCCAGGATAAATCATCTTTTGCAACCTTCTGACAAGCAAAGTCAATGGGGAAGCCAGATTCACTTAATAACCACGTTAAGTCACTTAACAATGTAGTGATTCACACTTAGCCACAGAAATTTTGGGCTCAGTTTTGTGGTCATAAGTCAAAGACTACCTGTACAGGAAGAACTGTAACTTAAGCACAGCTGACTTGCTCAGCATGCCACAGATCTCAGATTCATTCCCTGTTGAAATATCATAGATGAAAGGGCTGACCATCCTTCAGTGTTGGTTAAAGTTAGGAGTCCAAATGTCTATATAGGATCCACATTGCTGGAGGAACAAAGAACAGCCAGAGAGAAAGCTGGCAAGCAGAGATGGTGTTGATGAAAGTGTAGAAAGGGGATATAGGCAGGCAGCCTCTTCTAGCTAACGTCTAGTCATGGGAAATGAGTTTGAAGTAGTTTAGAAGTCTCAGAAATACAACATTTATTTTGTAAGTGGGCAGTCTCTACAGCAGGGGTGTCAAACTCAATTTCATTGAGGGCCGCATCAGCATTGCGGTTGCCCTCGGGGCAGGTGGGTGTGGCCAGAGTGGGTGCGGCCTACTAGGTGGGCGTGGATGGAGTGGGTGTGGCCTACTGGGTGGGCATGGCCAGCTCTACATTGTTCATGTCAAGAGTGCCTGTGGGGGCCTGGGCAGAAGTGGGACAGATCTGAGGGTCTCTGGCAGAAGGGGATGGGACCGGGGCAGGCGCCAAGGCATGGTCCATTTCTTCATTCCTCACAAATGGTGACACCTCCCCAGCATGCACCCAGAGGGCGGGGCCGACACGGCAGGGGCTGGTCCCTCGCTGTTTCTAGACGGCCTTGTGGAGCTAAGACTGAATGCGTTTCAGCATAGATGGCCACCACAAAATTGTACATTGGCTCCCGGCCAGCCAGGGCCAAGGCTGCAGGGGCCGTTCCCTCACTGTTTCCAGGATGGCTTCGTAGGCCACAAGAAACCACTTCGCGGGCCGCATCTGGTCCCTGGGCCTTGTGTTTGACATGTCTGCTCTACAATGTATTTTTCAGTACTTGTATATTGATTTTTCAAATTAGGTATCAACCCAGGATGACATATATTTTTTAATTGGGAACCTGTTTGGAATAGCGCTCCACAATCTGATGATAATTGCTTTGCCCTTTCCTCTTGCGTTGTTCAAGAAATTGGCAAATATTGAGCCGACGCTGGAAGATTTAAAAGAACTCTCTCCTACAGTTGGACGGTACGGCATAACGTTATTCTTCAGAACCATATAGTGGTAATTGATATTGCAGATCAAGTACTCATTTCTTTTTCTGTGGATATACACAAGCTGATATTGGAAGCTAAGCTGAGTCTGACCTGGTTGATACTTAGATGAAAGACATTTGAGAATCCAAGTGTTGGCTAGACTGGGATATTTAAAAGAAGAGTGAAGAAGGCAATGCCTAACTACTTCTTTAATACTGCCAAAAAAGTTGCAGGAATATAACTCCAGGAGTTGATCTTGACATAAAGTCTCCTTTATTTTCTCCATTTAGGAACTAGATGCCAGACAGTCTTGGTTTAACTGAATACAGACAAAGCTAACCCAAAGGCTTAAGAATATTATGAAGAATCAATTTCTGTTAAAATTAACATGTCATAAGTAAATGAATTATTTTAGTTTTGGGGAAACAGTTTGTTCCACTTTATTCTTTTTCCCTTTAGTACTCTTCAGAATATACTGGATGAACGCTATGATGACANTAATAATAATAATAATAATAATAATAATAATAATAATAATAATAATAATAATAATAATAAAGTTGGAAGGGACTTTGGAGGTCATCTAGTCCAACCCCCTGCTCAGGCAGGAAACCCTATACCATTTCAGACAAATGGCTGTCCAGTCTCTTCTTAAAAACTTCCAGTGTTGGAGCATTCACCGCTTCTGGAGGCAGGTCGTTCCACTGGTTAATTGTTCTAATTCTCAGGAAGTTTCTCCTTAGTTCTAGGTTGCTTCTCTCCTTGATCAGTTTCCATCCGTTGCTTCTTGTCCTGCCTTCAGGCGCCTTGGAAAATAGCTTGACTCCCTCTTCTTTGTGGCAGCCCTGAGATATTGGAACACTGCTATCATGTCACCCCTCGTCCTTCTCTTCATTAAACTAGGCATACCCAATTCCAGCAGCCTTTCCTTATATGCTTTGTCCTCCAGTCTTGAATGCCTCAGAGGAAAAGATATCTTGAGCTGACTGTGTTATATAACACTGTATGCTCTGCGGTTTCTAGTTATCTTGAGAATGTCAGGTTGGGGAAAGCTGTGCTACACTGTAATGTAATTTCTTTGACTTCAGGTTTAAGTGTCGTCTGAGCTCAGCCAATTGTATTTGACCAAACCATGGTTTAATGTAATTGTTTACTTAATCTCTGCTAAATGTCTATGGAGATTTCCAATTATCCAAGACATGGTTGTCTCAAAAGTGCTTTTTTCAAAAGTCAACTGGACTATGTTTTTTTCTTAAGAAATGTGTTTTTTTCCCTTGAAGACATTTTCGTCTCATCCGAGAAGCTTCATCGCTTCTGACAGGATTGGGGGGAGGATTGGAAGGATTAGTTCTGACAGGAGGGGGTAGGGGGGGGAATGGAAGGATTTATATTCCTTGCATTATACCATTGTTTCCACAACCACACAGCCATGGTAAACAATTGCTGTTAGAAGCTAGCTTGCTGCCTAAAGAATTATGATAATTCAAGTGAACCCATTTCCTGTGGCCAGGAAATTCCAGAACTGATACCCAAATACACGAAGTTCTTTCTCTTGTTATCACTTG